GGTGATTGACAACCGCCCTCACTTCACGGAAGCCTCATTCAGTCTTGGTGGTTGTGGGAGGGTAAATCCAGGCTGTTTTGCTAGTGACAGATGTGGGTCCTCAGACAGGTGTTTTACCCATATTAACCCATGTGTTTTCACATCTGTCCTGTTACCTCTATTTCACAAGAGGGGAAACTGAGACCCAGAGGCAGGAAGCAACTCTCTCCAGGGTCAGTCATCTGAGAACAAGCAAAGCTGAGACTCTAGGCAGGAGAGTTCCAGCAGTCTTAGTGCAAGCACCAGCCAAGTCCCCTAACTTGGATTAGGGAACACTTCTAGAACTTTCTATAGCCGAGACACACTTGGCGAGGAATTAGCTGGGGAAGGTGAGCAAATGATGCCCCAGACAAGGATTAAGCTGCCTAGATGCTGTCCCTGTCTCCACTCAGCACTAAATCTTCAACAGAAAAGTATTCGCCTCCTTTGCTTAAGACCTTGCTCTGTTTATGTCTGTACAGTATCTTGTCTGTTTCATGGGAGACCGAAACTTTCACATCTTCTACAACCGCCTCTTCAAAGTCAACAGGTGCCTGAAGGTTGGCTGGTTCACATCCCCGAGATATGCGTTTCTTATAGCCAAAGCCCATCTTTCTTCCCCACTGCATCCAAAGACATGGCTGGGATAGAGTTCTGTTTATTGGATTAATAAATAAAGGAAATGAATAAACCAAGCGAGGGAACTATTTTAGCTTCAGAAACGAAATGAAAAGAAGTGACAACTGACGTTCCCACTGCTCACCCTCATCCCTCGAAACACTAGCAAGTTCCGAGCAAGGGCAGCATTACATTGGCGTGGGCCAGCGGTTTGTTCTGAACCTCCGTCGCCTCTCAAACTAAATTGACGTTATACCTATAAATCTTTGTTTTATATTAATCCACACATTTTCATCCTGATAAGGATGGGAAGAATTCTTCAGCAATGAAAAGGTTCACACTTTTTATGGAACATCCAGAGGGGACTCTAGTTATGCAGGGAACATGGCCTACAAACTAAGCGCAGCATATGGCTTCTCCACCCCGTCCACGTACCAAAACCATCTCGGAGAGGTTTTGATTTAGTTGGTCTCACATGGGCCCCTGCACTCCTATTTTTTTTTCCCTTTGAGAGATGAAAAGAGGATCTGACAATGTAGCCCAGGCTGGTTTTAAACTCTTGATCCTCCTGCCTCAATCTCCCAAGTGCGGGGACGACAGTTGTGTGCTATGTGCAGTATCTTCAACATTTTAAAGGACTTTCTAGCTGGTTAAAAAATCTGTCACCATCATTTGCCTGCCATTAAGGCACTAGGTGAGATCAGTCTCCTTTTCCACCAAGGAGTAGGTAAAAAGAATAATGATGGGTCAGAAAGGCAAGGAAGTCTTAGCTCTTAAAGTGTGGCCAGCCCAGAGGATAAGACGGTTTCAATCCTAGCACCTGGCCCCTGGACCCATCACCCCCAAGATGTTAGAAGACCCAGATTACTTGGCTCGTAAGGGAGTGATAGCAAATGACCATGACCCACATTCCAGATCTCTGGGCTTCACTCAAGCCCTAGTGCCATGGGTAACAATAATCTGATGGATTTCAACACATCATAAAAGACCTCCACATTTAACGATCAAAAAGAAGAAAGAGAGAAGTAGACTCCTTACATCAGCAGTAGGGAGGTGATCCGAGATAGGAAGAGAGAATTTGAGAGAATTAGCTGGTTCTCAGGGGACGAACTTCAGATTGGGGCAGAGTCATTCTGCCTATGGGTAAGTGAAAAAAAACGTTCCCAGCAGTCACCTTATGGCCTGCTGTGGCCTGCTTATCAGGCAGGAGACAGAAAAGTGGCCAGAGGCTGGGGGTGTAGCTCAGGGTTAGAATACTTGACTACCTTTGGGGAATCCCCTGCTTTGATCCACAACACTGGGGGTGGAAGGGAGAAGTGGGAAGTTGTCACACCAGGCTTCTGTGCTGCTGGGGATGGTCCCAGCAGGGTGTGAACCCACCGTCCACGTGGCTACCTGCAACTGCGTGTTCAATGTGCATGTTTCTAAGGAAAGGGAGCTCAGCTTTCATCAACCTCCCAAAGATTAAGCGTGATAGCTGCCCATGAGTAATACTCACGCTAGGCTGAAAAAAAAAAAGAGGTTGCTTTTCACTCTACCCTGTCTGATTTGTCCGGGCAGAGGTAGCCAGGCTAGACTTGAACTAGAGAAGTAGCTCACAGCCGTCCCTTTTGTGCTCCGCTTCTCTCTGTCTCCCTGGAGCGAGCGCTCACTCACTGCAGCTTCCCCTATCCAGAGCGCCAGGCTCAGCTAGTGGTCACCAGCTTTGCCCTCCACTCCAGTCTGCGACTTTGCTCCCCGTGGCAACACAGGAGCTCTTGGTTTTTTATGTCTCCGCTCTTCCTCTATATTCTTGTGCTCCCAAACTGAAACCCACTTCCCTTCCATTTCTACCTAGATCTAGAGCCCCGTCCTTTAACCCCAAAGTTCAATGACCATGACATGATTATTGAAAGGCTTTTTCCAGCTTCCTGGTTCCTGGTTACCACTCTGATTTACCACCTCCAACATTCTGAGATGCTCTTCCAAGGTCATGGACAAAGGGGTAGTGCCCTGCTCAGCCCTTCCTCACCTGGATCAAAATCCGGGCCTTGCCTATTAACTAATACATGTCTCTGCATTGTTTTAGGAAAAAAAACATTTATTAATTCTTTCATCATCTTACACACATGCACACACACATACATAGATACACACACATACACACACACATAGAGACACACACACACACACACACACACACAAGGAGAGCAATGACTTTTGGCTGTCTTGAGGCACAAGTTCTATTTAGTCTCATTTATATTAGCTGCTTATTATTCGTGGCTAATTTCCACATCGTACGACAGTGTGGGATCAAGAGTGCCAGCTGCCTTCCACCTCAGAACCAAACTCTTTTCAGGTGTGGACAGTCTTAAACGGTTGCTCATTTGTGGCTGGGCTGTTCGCTTTCAATCTGGGGGCAGGGATCATTAAAGAGAGAGCCAGAAAGAGGTCTGGATCCTCTCCATCCTTTGTGGTGACGAGCCTTGGGCCTCTACTCTTCTCGGAACCTCCTCTCTCCCTCGCAGGATGGAGAGAGCACGGAGTTCCAGCCCTCCATTTTTTCTCCTGAGCATCAGTTCCCTTTCTCCTTTCCCATACGAAGCACACAGAAGTCCAGAATACAAAAACAGGTTTGAGAGAGGAGCTGCCTAAGGGTGCTTCTGAAGTTCTCTCCCAGAGCCCTAGGGTTTTCAGGTTATTCCTTAACCTGTGACTTTTTAAGACTGGGGCGTGGCTCGCAGGGCCCTTATACAACTCTCACAGCGTGTGTGCATGTGTGTGTGTCTCAGAACAACACCCACACGACAGGAGGTGGCATCCCAGGAGCATGCCCAGTGTCCCTACAGGTTAACATGAGGACCCCTGCCAAACAAGTGGAGACAAATATTTCATTCCTTATTTCAGGCCACAGTGGTTAAGATGTGTCCTTGGGCTTCTGTCAAGCTCAGGAAAGCTCAGCTTAAGTAATTTTATTTCAAAACGACCTCTCCAGAGTGTTGTGGAGAATTCAATGAATTGACTTCAGTTATGCCTCCGGTTCAGAGGCGGTTTTGAAACCAGCGGTTCCTCCAAGCTCTAAAATACTAAGCCATTTGTCCTAATGACACAGCAGACTCCGGACTCCCGAATACCACAGGAATATCACACCACTGCAAATTGCTAGGGCTGCTGAGTCTTCAAAAAGGGGAAATGAAACAAAAGCCCTGCACTGTTTCTGGGATGCCTGCTTGATACAGACAAACCAAGTTGTTTTGGGGACTAGTTCTCCTGGAGGAAGAACTCCTCTGTCCAGTTGCCTGGCCCTAAGCTTTCTTTTGTTGTGCCTATCTCTCCGTAAACACGGAGTGGGCTCTTTTCTCTTTCTCTGAAGTTTCCAAAGCTTTTTAATGTCATGGCTAAGTGTGGAATCAGTCAGCGCTACAAAAGGAGTCATTTAATGCTCAATTTCCCCAACTTTCCTAATATTAAGAACTTTTACTGTAGCGTAGATAGTTGGTTTTTTTTTTTTTTTTTTTGAGACAGGGTTTCTCTGTGGCTTTTTTGGAGCCTGCCAGGAACTAGCTCTGTAGACCAGGCTGGTCTCGAACTCACAGAGACCACCTGCATCTGCCTCCGGAGTGCTGGGATTAAAGGCACCCGCGCCACCACTGCCCAGCTAGGGTAGTTTTCATTCTCCCTCACCCAACAAATATTTAAATTGTCTCTGCTGGCTCCTCTTTTTCTTTTTCCAAGCTGACTTTGACTTTTCTTTACAGTCCAAACTATTTTAAAGCCGAGGCCCTCTGACCTCTTTACAGAAAACTTTTTCCATGACACACCAAATGCTAATCTGAAAGCCAAGAGGAGGTAAAGGGTCTGGTGGGGGGGGGCAGAGTTGAGGGAGGTACGATACATTTGGCATCAACTCAGAAATATAGAGAACGTTGGTGCGACCACTCCCCCGGCCAGGATCCCCCACCCCACTCCCATCACCCTGCCTTCTACCACATTAATAAAGAAAGGATGTGGGCGAGTGAAACAGGACAGTACAGGAGGGACATTTAAGATGGTCACAGTGGCACCACCAGAGAAACCTACCCATGACCGCTCCACGCGTCAGTCACCGCCCCCCGCCCCATCTTTCTCTCCCAACACCCGAAGTTTAAGATCAGAGCCTCCACTGCCACAGCTACACCCCACTCAACCACTCCTATGACACGTCGGAAGGACAGACACGGCTCCTGAACGTCGGGGTGGCAGGGTTGTTCTTAAGTACCGTGTACTTTTTTTTTTAAAGTACAGTGAGCGCACGAGCCTGGAACACATTAACTTGTGAACGGCATCCAGCATACCCCTAGAGAATCCACCGCTCTTAAACAAAAAAGGGGGAGGGGGTACATTACCATCCTGTCCCGAGCTCTCCAGATACTCTGTCAGGTCACATCCAAACGCACTGGCGGCTCCCTTTCGTTTCAGCTTCTGCTTGGCACCCTTGTTCTTCATGAGTTAGTCCCACAGAGGCTGACCCTCCGTCTCCGCTCTCTGCTCCGCACCGCTGACGAGGGTTTCGGGGTCGGGTCACCGGGGCAGAGCCGCGCCGCGGGTCGGCATGGGAGAGCAGATCGGGTCGTGCACCGCCCCGGGCGGGTGTCACCTCCCTCATCGGGCTCCCGCGCCGTCTCCCCCGCGCTTCTCCGCTGAGTCTTGCGAGGAACAGGGGCCGGGGCGCGGCGGCGAGGGGACCGCCCCGGGGCTGTGAGTGTGCTCCGCCCTAGGCCCGCGTTCTCTCTTCAGACCGCTGGGGGACCGCGAACAGCAAGCATCCCGTCCCCTCGCCCGCCCTCGCGCCGTCCCTTTTTTCCTGTCTTACAAATCCCAGGATCGTCCAGCTCAGGAAGCGCTGGAAGGAAGTCAGCTCAGGAGGGGGGCGGAGGTTGGAAATTTTTGGCAGCTCTGTGTGTGTGTGTGTGTGTGTGTGTGTGTGTGTGTGTGTATGAGCGCGCGCGCGATCGAAGGAAGTAAGTGGGTGGGTTGAGTGGCGCGGGGCTGGGGGAGAGATCGTGCTCGACCGAGGCGGGTCTGCGAGTCCAGAGATCGCCCAGGGCCGCCCCGGAGGAAATCGGCCTCGCGAGGACCGGCTGCCTCCCGCCCGCTTCCTGCCGCCAGCCCGGCTCTTTGCAAGGCGCAGGAGGCGGCGCCCGCCGGACTCGTCAGAGAGGGCGCGGGATGGGTGCTCACGAAGTTATCCTCCTTGTCATCCCAGTTCTGACACTTTCTATTTCAGTGCCTGCCTTTCTCCTCCGCAAACACATACAAGGATAGTGACATTAACAAGGACTGGGTTTCCAGAAACCTGACATACAGAGCCTTTTTTTTTTGGCCACTCCCATCTCTCCTAGCCAGGGTCTGAGGTCCCTGAAGCCCAGACGTCTCCTCTCCTACGCTGAGGTTAGGATACCCTAGGGCGAGAAAGATGCAGCTTTGTAACCACTGCCCAGGAAGTTATATTTCTAGTTACAAATTCAAGTTCAGACACACACACACACACACACACACACACACACACACACACACACACGCTTGCCAGCCTTGCTAAATGCAAGAGATTTGAGCAGAGAATCCGGGATTTAGGTGTGCTCTGTCATTTCTGCCATCACACAGAGAACAGTTTCCCAGGTTGTTCAAAAACTCGAGGCATGTGCCTTCAGGAGGGCATGTTTTCCTCCACTTCGCTGGAATTCCTTGACTTCTGTGTACTCAGCACACAGCGAGCACTCAAAGTCTTGTGCGTTAACAATTTGAAGATTAGATTAAACTTCCTGCATACATTCGAATCCATATATAGGCTTAAAGGGTAGGGATAGTCATATAGCTGGCAAAAAACATTATGGGTAGTATTTTAGTTACTGATTCTGCTTAAAGTCACTTATGCTTCACCATGGCAGTTTGTTTATGAACTTTGAACTCTGACCTTTTCTGTATCTCAGGACATAACCTGATAGCTAGCCTACCAAATCTGGCCTACAGATGTGCGTGTGTAACATATCATTTTTTTTTCAAAAAAAAAATAGCAGCTAATATTAAAGAATTAAGATATTTCTCCGTTAGGAATCTGTATTTCTGTCATCTCCTATGAAATGGAAGCTCTGGTTATACCACAAGCGTGTTCTCACATAGCCAGGACTGCGAGAGCTAAGACACATTAGCTCCCTTTAGAGAGGAGCCTTCTAATCTGGAGCCCCCTACCCCCCACCTGTCTTCCAGCCTTTACACCTGCCTGGCCCCTGGAGCCACTTGAGTTTGTGCCCAGTCCCCAAGCTCTCCTGCCTTCCACATTCCCATCTGTCTCAGTGACTCCACCACTGGCTCGGTCATCCTGATGACCACTGACTCATTGCTCTCCCTCCTCCTCCTTCCAAGCTAGCCCAGCCCAGAAGGATGAGTCCTTCAGGGTGCCGCACAGATGGGGGCTCTTCATGGTCAGGCCTCCTTGGTAGTAATCAAATACCCCTCAATGGTTAGAAGACTCCCCACGCCCTTTGCTAAGGCCAAGCTCCTCCCACCCCCCTCATCCTAAGGGCTAGCAACCTAGTGGGCACTCCTGAAGCAGGGCTGTTTATGCGCTTGCTTACTCAAATCTATCAATGACTCTCTGTTTCCAGCAGTCAGAGCAGAAATTCCTAAGCATCATGTAAGCTGTTTGGATTATTTAATATGTTGGCTTATTTCTCCTTTTATTTCTAGAGAAGCATCTCTTTGCTTAGCAGTTTACCTCATTAAGGGATTTCAGAGCCTTATTTTTTCTCTTCTTGTTTATTTTAAGCAGATTCTTTTATAGGACCATGGTGTGTGTGTGTGTGTGTGTTTGTGTGTAATCAGATTTGGGTTCCAAAGGGTTCTTCCGTTGTACTGCGGATTTCCTAGGATGCAAGGTTATATGGCGATAGGGTAGGAATGTTCACTGAAGGAATAAGTAAGCTGTCTGGTGATAAGTTATGAATTTACTGGAAAGCGTTTTTGCTTACGGAGACCCATCACTGAGAAGCAACTGTGGTTGCTTACGACTCCCTTACCTGACACCTACTGAGGACGAATGGCTACCCAAGTCTTCCTCACCATTAATATACAGAAGACCGGCAACCAGTATCAATAGGTTTTAGCATCACCTGTGGTTACGACCTTTTCTTTACCCAGTTTGCCCATACAACCAGATTTAGTATCAGCAACTTCATCATCATTCCTCTCCTTCTCCAGGTAGCCTATTAAATGCTGAATCTGTTGTCCAGCCAGATGCATTTCTTACTGACTTCCGTCTCACCCTGCCTCCGGCTGTCCCTGTTCTAAAGGTGCTCGGATGGTATCTGGGGGTGAGATCAGCTGCAAGGGAAGCTCTTCCGTGACAATGACGGCTGTGTTTTATCTAGCCCTCTGTACTCCAGGGTTCTCAGGCCAACAAAGGACAGAGGGTGGTCAGGTAAACGGACTTCAGAAAGCTGGCATCCAGGGCTCCATGATTGTACTTCTTGTGCAAGGTGCCTGTTTATGTTACATTGCAAACGGCAGCTCCAAAGGTCCAGATGGGGTGGACCAAGCTTGCTTAGAGAGCATGCAAACTGAGGAAGCCACACTGCCAACCCCTAAGAAAACACAAGTAGCTGGGCAGTGGTGGCACGCCTTTAATCCCAGCACTCAGGAGGCAGAGGCAGGCGGATCTCTGTGAGTTCGAGACCAGCCTGGTCTACAAGTTCCAGGACAGGCTCCAAAACCACAGAGAAATCCTGTCTCGAAAAACAAAAACAAAAACAAAAACAAAAAAAAAAAAAAAAGAAAAGGAAAGAAAGAAAAAAAAAACACAAGTAAAGAACTCCTTCATGAGAGTAAAGGAATCAGTTCTCCATCCTGACCAGTCAATTCCCCAGGGCTCTGCCGTCTCCATGACTATGAAGGCCAGTGTTGCTCCGAGCAGGACTTCCAAGAGTGATTCCAAGAGTGAGCAGGAACAGTGTGAAGAACGAGTGCGAAGGGAATTCCAAGTCTACCCATCTCCAGTACGGTCAGGGACAGTCTGCCTGTGTGCCTGCCTGCCTACCTAGTTCTTTTGGATTCCAGACTTGGAAAGCAGCGTCACTCAAGGTGAGAGCCCTACATATTGCTTTGCCCTCCCAATTGAAAAAGCAAGTAAGGAGGAATTTGGGGATGGGAAAGATGGAAGGGAAGAGAAATGTTAGAAAAACATTTGACTTTCCCTCTCCCCCTCCTCTCCCCCCTCCACAGAGTCTAGATGTAGAAAGGCTGAGTCAGAGGCCAAACCAAGTTCCTATGAACTGGGCACTGGCTAGGCTAAAATTCTCTCTACTTCTTGGCACATCAAGGGCCACACCAGAGGGCATCTAGGAAGAAATATTCTTTGGCAGTTTGAAAGGTAAGATAGAGTAGACACTGACAGAATGGAAGAAGAGTTGGCTACATGTAATATTTGAAACAAGTTCAGAAATTAAAATTTCCTCACCAGTGTTTTAGGCATGCTCTAGTATCTTTACACCAAATACTGTCGCTTTGTGTGTGTGTGTGTGTGTGTGTGTGTGTGTGTGTGTGTGTGTGTGCTTTAATCTAAGAGGTCTGGAGATTTTCTGCGTTCCCCGATTTTCTTTTGTAAATCACTGTGACATTTCACCAATATGCACAGTTTGCCCTGAAATGGGTTTTTAGCGTTTCAGACTCTGTGAGCAGGCACAAAACTCACTAGTCCCACTCAACATGGGCCCGGAGGTTGCCAAAGAGCAGCGGGACACTTCCTTCCTGGTCCAGGACTGAGCAGAGACTTCAAGACTAGAAGGAGAGCCAAATGTCCCTGCTGAATTGCTGTTATGCCCCCATCAGAACCTACACAGCCCACATCTGAACTAGCACAGGGCTTAGCCCTTAGGCTCCGAGTCTACCTTTGAATCTGTTTGGCTTGAGGCCTTTGATCAGGGGCCCAGAGAGAAAAATGACTGGGCTGTTCTTTTTTTTAAGAGGGCCCCAGAGTCTGCCCCCAGCGTCTGGAGGTGTTTTCTGATCCCTCCCAGTAGCTACAACTTGAGACCGTTTCTTTTGCTATGTCTTCGACTTCTCAAACTGGAAAGTCTTCGCGCAGGAAAACCATCCTGCATTGACATGGGATAAAAACCGTCTTTGACTTGTTTCTGTCATCCCGGTTTGGTTCTGGTGCCTCCTCCTTCAGCCTCTGTTTTCCCTTTCACTGGGTTCTGTACCCCTTGGGAACATTGCCTTTTTTTCTGAATTGGAAAAAAAGAAACTATAGAAGGATCAGAGCCCGGGCTCCGAGCCCCATCTGTCTCCCTCCAGGGTCCCTCCACATTGGAGCAAGCGATTTTCTTAGGTGGGTGGGGATCTGTCCCCGCCCCGTTCATTGTGTTCCACAGTTTCCTGTACACTGCCTCTAACCCTTTACCAATCTGCCAGGCGCCGTTTAACACAAAAGAAAGGGGAGGGGGCAGGGACTGCTGAGGAAGAACATCCCTATAAATAGCCCTCTTGAGCGAAATTGTTTTCCTCGTACACAGTTGTTGTTAGGCCTTGACGCCCTGTAGTCTTCCTCCACAGTCCCCTCCCCTTCCACTCGGGCCTTCTTCTCTGGGACTTCTTGCCTTTTATCCTCAGGCCTACTGGGAGATGCAGGTGTAGTTGGGGGCTTGACGGAAGCTGCAACTCTCCAGCCCAGGTTTTTGCTCCCAGCTGCAGGTAGAGGCTGTGGGCGGAGGCGGACCTGGGTCCTAGGTCAGGCACTGCTGAGTTTTGGCCCTATGACCCTTGGTTGGGCAAATTTTCTAACCTTGCTGATCCTCAGGGCTCTCCTCTTAATGAGGGTGGTGGGAACACCTTATGGAGTTTCTCTGAGCATTGGAAAGGCCTGATGATTAATCTATACCTACACAGATCCTACATAGGTCCTGCATACACAAATGAGTGTTTGTTTGTTTGTCGGTCTCTTACACAGAGTAAATCTTCATTGTCTTGCAGTTCATCCAGTGTTTCAGGAGTGTCCGCCCCACCCCCATCCCCATTTTGCATCCTGGTTTCCTATCTCATATAAACCGGTTTGTAAGCCTTAAGCATATTTAATTTACATTTATTTATTTATACTTTCCTCGGTTCCAACACGAGTTCAGATAATTTACTTTATATTTAAGTGACTGGAACCTAGTAGCATTTTCAAAAGGGAAAGAGAGTCCCTTCCTGGAGGGGGGACAGTGCCTTTTGTAGGTACTTAGGGAGTGACTTTGTCATGGCTCACTCTCTTCTGTTGTCTCATCGATCCCAGGTTCCGCTTTCTTTACTACTTTGGGAACATAGCATAGAGAAGTCAGCATGAAAATAAGAGGTAAAATAGTCACAAATGCACATTGTTGTCTCCATATAACCATGACCCTACAGTGAATGTTTTCAGTTGGGATGATATATTCCTGTTGTTTCTCCTTATGTCAAAGTTGTAGGGTTTGAGGGTAGTGAGGAAGTGGCTCTAATTAACCAAAATCACACTTGAAAAATAATTTTACAACGTTCTGCATTTTCAGTGGTTAGTACACAAGTACTGAACTCTTCAAACTGATCCTAAATGAGACCAGTCAAACATGCGCAGTCTGATGTACTGTTATTTTTTTTCACAGATCTATATGTGTGTGTGTGTCCACATCTGTATTCATGTCTCTGTTTCCATGCATTGCACATTCATTTGATTTCATGGGAGTCCTCTCTGATTCCTCTTGATTTATAATTAATTCCTAATAATTTAAAAGATCCACAGGTTTAGTCTCTAATCTTACATATAAAGCAGAGCTTCTATAATTAAGAATTTTCCAATGGATATTTTAAAATTCTTTCTGAGATGAGATGTCCCCCACAGTCCCGATTGTACATGTTCTGCCCCATCTTCAAACTAGAAGATGTTTTTGGCTTTTTCCTTTAGAATATGTAGTCAGTGTTTGGTTGACTTTCATCCTCCCCAAATTGCTGAAGTTCTAGTATTGTGGGATGTGACTTTATTTGGAATAGAATGGTTATGATGTAATTAGTTAAGACTCAATTAACAGTCTCTGGCCCAGTTTGTATCCATCCCGGACACAAGAAGATGCCGTGAAGAGATGAAGGTAACTAGAACGATGCTCCAACAAGGCAAATGTGGTGTTGAATAAGAGTGGTTCCCAGAGGCTCGTATATTTGAGTGCTTAGTCACCAAGAAGTAGCGCTATTTGAGAAGAATTAGGAGGTGTGGATTTGTCATAGGAAGAGTGCCACTGGGAATGGGCTTTGAGTTTCAAAAGCCCACATCAGGGCACGGTGTTGCATATTCTCTCTCTCTCTCTCTCTCTCTCTCTCTCTCTCTCTCTCTCTCTCTCTCTCTGTAGTTCTCAGCTACTTCTCCAGCGCCAGCCATGCCTGCTGCGGTGCTCCCTGTCATGATGGACATGGGTGCAAGCCAGCCCCAATTAAATGCTTGGTCACAGTGCCTCTTCACGGCAATAGAACAGTGACTAAGACAGCAAGGAATATTGAAGATTGCCTGAAACCACCAGACACTTGGGAAGAGTACGAAACAGATTTGTCTCACAGCCCTCAGAAGAAACCCTCTCAAGAGCACCTTGATCTTAGAATCTAGAATCTGGAATGGTGAGACAATACAGTTTTGGTGTTTAAACACAATTTGCAGTACTTCATTATGGGAGCCCAACCAATATCATAATTAAGTAAGCTAAATAACCCAAGTCCTGAACCTGAAGTTGTTACCCCAATGATGAAATTGGAAACAGTCTGAGTTACCCCTGACTCTCTCCTGGTGGAGTCTCCAGTGTCAGTAGCTCCAGATGGGAGGAAAGCTAAACAACTGTTTACAAACTGTATACGTTAGCAAGATGCTCCAGGCAGTCAAGGATGACTGCTGTGAAAATAGACAGAGACCCTGTGGTCCAGAGGACGGTGGGATGTGGGAAATCAGGGGCAGTCTTCTCACATCTCCTGGTCCCCTTTAGCCACAGGAAGATGTTTCTAAACTAAAACTGCAGTGTCAAACCTTATAGACAATGGTTTGTGTGTGTGTGTGTGTGTGTGTGTGTGTGCACATGTACACTTATTTTCAAATTCAGTTTATAAGTTAGGGACGGTAAGATAATAACAACGAAAACATAACTAGAATAGAACATTTTTGTAACATCGCACATTCCCGTCTAGTATTTTTAGTCTTCAGTGGCTCCAGGTAATGGCAGTAGAGGGAACTGTCACATTTTGAAGGACACCGAGGTCTTTCTTTTGCTTGGGAACCAGAGAATGGGAAGCTCTGTGGAACCACCTTAAGGGCCCAGTCCCCACTCCAGGGTCTCCCCACCCCAGTCACCACAGGGTCCTACTCTTCCATGAGAAATTTGGTGACTCTATCCCAAGGCCCGAACACTGACATTTTTGAGAGTCTATGAAATGTCATTACACTCAGCATTTATTCATTGACTGGCCTGGCCTGTCAATACTATGTTCATGACAGCAAGGTAGCTTTTCTAAAAATACCCTCAGAGGTGTAGGAGGCCAGGATCTGTGCATGTCAATATAGGATGTGGGAGAGGGGGGGCAAATCTGGCTTTTGCCGAGAGAGGAGCTAGATAGGATAGGGCAGTGTGTTATAGATCCGAGTCTAGACTGGGTCCTATCGCACAGGGTCTACAGGGTCGGCTAACCCGGGGTGGAGCGGAGATGCAGGAAGCTACAGGGAAGGTAACACTGCTTCCACATAGCTCCCACCCCCATGCCTGAGCGAGAGAGGAAGTGCACCCTAGCTCCGTGGGTGTCTCAGCCCAGGAGTGAAGCTGCTTGGAGCCCTGTCTTTGTCTTGTCACTAACTTTAGTCCCACAATCGGCCTTGAAGCCTAGCTGTACCATCCTATGGTTTTGTCAAGGGAATTTATCAAGACTGTCAGTTTGCATGGATGCCGAGTCACATAGACTAAGGAAGTGTAAGTTTACCCTGCATCCCCAGAAGTTATCTGTAAGATTACCATCACAAAGTTTATTTGCATAGTCTGAAACTGTATACAATATCTCAGCCTTTCAGGAATTGGGCTTGGCTTATTAAAATTCCACAGACTTCCAGGAGGATCCCAGTCAACATTAGCATTTGAGATGTGGGTTTGCCATCTAGTGGGCATCTTTGAATATGTATGCGTTAGCAACACCCGAGTAACACGCACATGTGTACACAGAGAAGTGCGCACCCTCCCCTTCAGGGTTTCAACGACGTTAGTTACCTTTCTCTCTCATCCTTCATGCTTAAAGCTCAAGCAGAATTTGGGGCACAAGACTGGCAAATATGTCCCGTGTCTCAGTTTATGTGCGTGTCGAGGTAGAAGAAGGTTTTATACTGCGTGTGTTTGCACATATAGGAGAGAGTATCCGGGTTCCGTGGGGGCTCAGTTGAACTCTCTGTACTTCTGTCTACCTTTCGTGCTCCACTTGAAAATTACTGAGCCAGAACAGAGCACCGAGGGACACGTCACAGGCACAGCCACAGCAGATACTCGGTAAACACTCATTTCCTTCCTCTTCACTCGCGCCCACTTTTATAAAAACTGTATTCCAAACGACAGTTTCCATGTGCACTTGGTGTGCGAGGCACCGCTATGCCCGCAGCATTGCCATGGTCGGGGGACTGGCTTGTGGGAATGCAGAGGGGGTAAGACCTAGTTTAGAACATACAGAGCCGGAAACAAGAGTTTTGCAAGAGATTCCAGCAGGTTATGTCTCAGACGCTGGGGGTAAAAGTTCTGGAGTTTCAAGCTAGACTTTCCCTCGGAAGGACTCTCTCACCCTTGCGTGCTTCCCCCAATAAAGAGTGTACTGGTGGTGAGGGTAGGAGGGGCCCCACCAGCCCCCATGTGGTGTGAGATATTGAGGGAAGGCCAGAGCAGGGATTTCATAAGACTTTGTTCTGGCTTATGAAGGGAATCCCCCTTTGATGTCCTCGTGGCATGAAGGTGGAGATTTAAGTTCCCTTTCTGTTATTTTTGGATGTGGGGTAGTGTTTCTTTGGAAAACAGCATCGTGTGGAGACAGGCTGTAAAGTGCCTGAGCTTCGTCTGGAAAACATGCATGCACAGACCATAAAACTATAAAAATAGACATAGTCTACTGTCCTCATCTGTCTTAAATCTGAAATCGAACAACAGCAAGACAATAAGGGAGAACATGGGGCATTTATTTTAAAAGTAATGCATATGTTTGGCTACAGAATTCAGAGAGTACAAAGTAATACCAACCGGAAAAGGGGCAAGTTTCCTCGTGGCGAGCCTGTTGTCAGTTCCCTCGGCCATTAGCACTGTGACTGTAATGTCTATGCGGACGTCACAGTTTCCCCATGGCACAACCCGGTTCAGTGTGTGCTAACTCCCTGCTGTGAGTGATGGGAAATGCAGTCACTTCTGATGCCTTTCCATTTCCGGTTCCTCTTGTGTATTTTTCTTTCCTCCTCATTCTTGGCTGTGATTATAAATTTATTTCTTTATCTGTTTTCACAAGGCCTCACAGTGCAGCTCCTACTGACCTGGAGTTTGCTCCGTAGACCAGACTGCCCTCAGATACACAGAGATCCACCTGCTTCTCAAGTGCTGGGACTAAAGGTGTGTACCACCATGCCTGGACACTTTAAATTCTTGTTTGGCCAGTATTAGTGGAGGCCTTGTCAGTGCTCTGTTGCTGTGCAGAGTACCTACATATAAAGAGAAGAGGTATACTACAGTTTATGGTTCTGGAGGGCTGAGGAATACAAACTCTGGAGTTCAGGATTATTGAGAGTGGAATATTTCATCTCTGGCTATAGCCAAGGATGTGCCCACTTTCTCAGCACTTACCTTGCGGGTTTTTTTTCCCTGCATATGCACTAAGGGTCTGTTATTTGGTTTATTAATATTGAGGATTATTTCCCTTAATAACTGACCCATCTTTTTACGCGTATAAAATGAACGACCTTCTTTATTCTATTAATAGTCTTTGCTTTGATGTATTTGGTTTTTTTTGCTTGATATTGAAAACAAAACAAAACTGGCCTCTCATTTTCTTTGTTCCTCTCTTTACATGTCTGTGTGTATATGGGTCTCTCTCTCTCTCCACCTTCCTGTCATCTGCTCTGGCGATTGAACCCAGGGACTTGTGCACACTAGGCACATACTCTGCTATTGAACTATAGTCCTTGTTTCATTTTAAAAACTTTTAATTACTTTTTTATTTATTTGTATGTGGGTGAATGTATATAGAGGCCAGAGGGCAATTTGCAGAAGTCACCTCTTTTCTTCTTCCATGTGGGCTCCAGGAGTTGAACTCAGACTTTCAGGCTTGACGGCAAACGCTTTAATTTGCTGTGACATCTTCCTGCTCCTTTGTGCTTCTTTTGATTTGTATTAGTGGTTTATCTTTTCCCAGTTTAAAAAAAAAACAATTTGTTGCTATTAGCAACTTTATAGTTACATTTCAGTGTGCTTTCAGGCAGCGTATAGTAGATTCTTGGTTGTAAATGTTTTAGTTTAAATTATATGTTTGTTTGTTTGTATGTGTGTGTGAGGGGCGCATGTGAACACAGGGCCCACAGAAGAGGGGGCCAGATCCTCTTGAGCTGGAGTTACAGGAGGTTGTGAGCTGCTGAGGTAGGTACCGGGAATTGAACTCCAGTCCTCTACAAGAGTAGTATGTGCTCCTAACTATTCTGGCTCCAAAGTTTTGCCTTTTTCATTGGCTCTAAGAATCTGCCTTCTATATTAACCTTCATCAGGTGATGAAAGGAGACAGAGACAGAGACCCACAATGGAGCACCGGACTGAAATCTCAAGGTCCAAATCAGAAGCAGAAGGAGAGAGAGCACAAGCAAGGAACTCAGGACCGCGAGGGGTGCACCCATACACTGAGACAAGGGGGATGTTCTATCGGGAACTCACCAAGGCCACCTGGCCTGGGTCTGAAAAAGCCTGGGTTAAAACCGGTCTAGCTGAACATAGTGGACAATGAGGACTACTGAGACCTCAAGAACAATGGCAATGGGTTTTTGATCCTACTGTACCTATTGGTTTCGTGGGAGCCTAGGCAGTTTCGTGGATGCTCACCTTACTAGACCTGGATGGAGGGGGGTGGTCCTTGGACTTCCCACAGGGCAGGGAACCCTGATTGCTCTTTGGGCTGACGAGGGAGGGGGACTTGATTGGGGGAGGGGGAAGGAAAGGGGAGGCGGCGGTGGGGAAGAGACAGAAATCTTTAATAAATAAAAAAAAAGAATCTGCCTTCTAATGGGTGTTTTTAAGTATAATTAATAATATTGTTCAAGCAGATTTCCTCCTGATTGCTTTCTATTTGTCTCACCTGTTATTTGCTCTGCTTTTTCTGCACACTTTAAAATTATTTTTACTAACTTTCAAAAGATCAAAACATAATTATGTTTCCCTTTGATTCCTTCCTCCAACTCCTCCCATGCGCTGCTCCCTTGTTCCCTTCCAACGCCTGGCATCTCCCCTCCCTGGCTGTTATTGTTCCATATATAAGCACGCAAACATATAGATATAATCTACTGGGTCTTTCCGTTCCTGTGTATGTGATTTCAGGGCTGACTACTTGGAATCGGATAACCAATCAAGAGGTTGCTCCTTGAGGGAAGATTATTTGTCCACTTTTTTTGAACTAATAGAGTTTGTGAGAGTGGAGTGCGGGGCAGAGGTGTAGTCTATACACACGTGTGCACAGAGGTCAGAGGCGAGCATCAAATGTTCCCTTCTATCACTAGGCTGGCCACCAAGCCCCAGCGATCCTCTTGGCACTGCCTTCTGCACTGCTGGGTTTAAGGGCAGGTAAGAGACCACTCTTGGCTGGTTATGTGGACCCTGAGATCTGAACTTAGGTCATCAAAGCTGTGCACCAAGCACTCAGCCACGAGGTAGCTCCCCAGCCCCATAGAAAACCTTATGACGATGCTTTATCTCCATACCAGCTACAAGCTATTTTTGAGGCAGGCAAGCACAAAAACCAGCTCAGTAACCTGGGACTCTATTTAGGTTGGGTTATGCACCTCCTAATAATGCAACTGAAAGCCATTTCCTTTACCTAGAAGCTATGCATACACAGCAGTCTCTGAATAATGGATCCAGCAACCCTGGACCCCACCTGCAGGGAGTACACATACATTCCCTCTCTGATCTGTGGGGTAAATTTCTCTTCCACTAGCAACATTTTTTTGTCAATTCTTTAAGGATTCCGTAAGTATACTTTGATTATATTTATCACCTACCTCTCCCCCTAGTTCCCAGATTTTTCTCCTCAGTTTCCCACTCATCTCAACTTCATGACCCCCCCCCCCTCTCCAGGGCTTTTCTATATACCCCAGCTGTCCTGGAACTCACTCTGTAGACCAGGCTGGCCTTGAACTCACAGAGATCTGCTTGCCTCTGCCTCCCTAATGCTGGGATGAAGGGTATGCAACACCACACCCAGGTAGATGCTCCTGTTCCTCTTCTCTCTCTCTTTCTCTAGTAACCCAAGTACAATTTGTACAGACCTTACACTCTAGGGGCCATCCATGGAGCATGGTCAACTGTGCACGGGGCCACACTTTTCAGGAAAACCGTCTCTCTGTCCCATAGAGGCCATAGAGTGCTAATAGTTCTTTGGTTAGTGGTAGGAGCTCACAGACAAGCCTGTCCACATTATAATGTCCACTGTCTTGATCTTGTGTAGGCTTTGTGTAAATAACCACAACTGTTGTAAGTTCATGAGTCCAGAGATCCTGTTCTGTCCAGAAGATGCTGTTCTGTGATTGTCCTCCAAAACTTCTGCCTCTTTCAGTCTCTGCTTCAGTGATGGTCCTAAGCCTTGGGGATGAATTCATGATGCAGGGTCCCATTATTCTCTGCACTTGGATGGTGAAATTCATATACATTTCCAGTGTATCTGGGTACAAGGAATGTAAAGACCTGGCTTGAATTGGTTTTGGGTTCAATCACAATTAAACAAAACCGTGTCCTCAAGTGAGCCTTTAAGGAGTGAACCATTTTATGCGTACTTGAGCAGGCATGTGATTAAAATCAGATGCCTTGTGATGAGGGACACATACCCCAGAAAGTATTACATAAGGCAATCTCTCAGTTAGTAGACATAACCATTCTCACTAGGTCCTTAGTAACTAAAGTCACCCTTTTACTGAGCTCCAGGAAAGGAAGCCCCGGACAATAGCAGGTGCCCTTCAGTGTCTTGATTCGTGTGGCCACTGCTCGCTTGCGGTGTCTTCTGATCTTTTCTATTATTTTGCTTTAAGTAAGGGTTCTTTGCTACTTTTGCAAATCTGTGTGGGATTTCATTTCAACTCTTGGAATAAGAGGCCAAGTACCTGGAAACCCCTGATCCTGATCCAACCACTGATGGTCATTTTGTCCCTTTAGTGGCTGCCCCAAAGCTTATATTATTATCTATCATATTCTATCTGAAAATAATATACACATATAGGGTAGGGATTTTGTTATATATCATGTAGCATGAGAACCTTACAATAGGGGCTGAAAAGATGGTTTACCTGATAAAAACATTGGATGCTCTTGCAGAAGACTCGGGTTCAGTTCCCAGCACTCGTGAGTTGGCTCACAACCATCTGTAAGTCTATTTCCAAATCGGATGCCCTCCCCTGAACTCTACAGGCACCAGAAATGCATGTGGTGCATATACACACAGGCAGACAAGACTTTTGTGCACATAAAATAAAATTTAAAAAAGAATCTTATATTCTCCCCTATAACCTGCTGTTGTCATACAGTCTGCCTTTTATTTCCATAGGTCCAGTTAGAGACTTTAAAAAACAAAACTCCCTCCCAGCCGGGTGATGGTGGCATATGCCTTTAATCCCAGCACCAAGGGAGGCAGAGGCAGGTGGATCTTTGTGATTTCGAGGCTAGTCTGGTCTACAGAGTGAGTTCCAGGACAGCCAGAGCTATACAGAGAAACTCTGGAAAATAAAACCAAACTAAACCAAACCAAAATGAAACAAACGAACAAAAAACAACCCCCCCACCCTTTTAGATAGGGAATTATCCAGCCAGGGTGACCTCGAGTTTCCCATGTAGTTTTGGATCATCTTGAACTCAAGATCCTCCTGTTTTTACCTCCCAGCTTCTAATATTAGGGGCATGTGACACCGTACATGGCTTGTTATTTCCTGAGATACAAGGAAATTTCTCTGAAGACAAGGCTTGCTTCAAACTCACATCCATCTTGCTGCACCCAGTGTTGGGAATACAGACAAGAGCCGCTACAACCAGCTCAACTTGTTGAATGTGTAGAATGTGTGTAGAGCTGTCTCCCGGCCCATCTCTGCTAACTCTAGTATCAACTCCAATTCTACATCACCTTCAGCTGATTGTCCTGGACAGTGGTTGTCTCCTGCCTCTCTGCACACGATACCAGGCATTATGAATTTTTTTTCCTGTTGGATGTTGAGTATTTTTACATTTCTATAAACATTCTTGGTGACAATTTACTCCTTTGGGGTCTTGTTGGGCACCTCTGGAACAGCGCTCAGAGTACGGTAATTTTCTACCAAAGCAGGCAATACTTCTTTGGGTGTTCCGCCCAGTGTCCTCTAGGCAAAATGTTTTCTACTCTGGTAATGGAAACGAACACTATTTCCATTCCAATGCAAAGGATCAGAATTGTTTCTCTAGTCCTTAGGGACTCTTGTTTTCTCCTCCTACCCCTCCCCCATTCTTACTGCTCCTTCCCAAAGCGACATTTTGTCACAGTAAAAAAATCCCACGCTGGGTACCAGTCTCTGTCTTAGGCTGCTTCCCATTGCCGTGACAAACACTGCCCAAAAGCCGTTTGTGGAGGGAAGGGTTTGTTTCAGTCTACAGTTGTCATCTGTCAAGGCAGGAACCCAAGGCAGGGGCCACGGAGGAGCCCCGTTTACCTGCCTTTTCCTTTCCTCATGGCGCATTTACCTGCTTCCTTATAGAACACAGGAGCACCTGCCTACGGTTGGCACCCCCCCAGGAGCTGGGCCCTCCCACATTCGTCATTAATAAAACGCACCACAGGCTAATCTGATGCAGGCATTTTCCCAGCTGAAGTTCCGTCTTCTCAAAGCGCTAGCTTTTGTCACGGTAGGACAGCCTAAGCAGGACCCTGCACTCCTTGGGTGTGATAAAAGCCTGAGTCAGGGAGCTCTTGCTGTTCAAAGTATGTTCAGTTTGTTAAAAGCTTTTCTGACAGCTCTTCGGGGGGCTCATTCTATGGGCTATTGCCTTTGCTGTCATTCACATGTAGCCCCTTTGCTTGGGGATTGTTCCAGTCTGTTCTCTGTTGTTTTGATAAACACCATGACCAAAAGTCACCGGGGGAAGAGGGGCTTTGATTCCCTCTTACGTGCTAGTCCATCACTGAGAGAGCCAAGGCAGACTGTGGAGGAGCTCAGTTTGATGGCTTGCTCACTTTACTCTCTTACATAACCCAGGACCACCTGCCAGGGGTCACATCACTTCTCGTGTGATGGCCCTCGCACACGACCTGGTCCTCAGGAACACGAATCTACAGACCCACCCACAGGCTGCTCACTGGAGACAAGTCCCCGCTGAAGCTCCCTCTCCCCAGATGGCTCCAGTGGACATCAAGTTGACAAAAACTAACTGCTATAATGATTTTAAAAAGGATTTTGAACTCAAGGCGTGCCCGGGTGGAGGGGATGGCCGTGATTGGTTCTGTGCAATTTGGTGGTGGGTTGTCTCAAGTAGCCCAGGCCTTGATTCCTGTCCTCAGCACAATAAATAAATATAGAAATAAATTAAAAATTAAAAGTGGTAACTTGTATCCATAGGACCAAATCGAAACCAGTCCTCTACGGGGAGGTCCCATTACTTCTGCCAGAGCACAGTCCTCCTGGGACCTCTCCAGTGCTCTTCAGGGGGCTTCTGCCCAATGCAGGAGGCTCAGGCTCCAGGCTCTATATTTCCCTCCCCCATCACAGTGAAGACTAGGACTTAGAATGGCCTTAGACCTGTTTAAAGCTCAGTGCCTCAGGGCTCTTTCCTAGTCTGCTCCTTGGGAGCAGAGGTTCTCAGCCCTCCTAATACTGGGACCGTTTCATGCAGTTCTTCATGTGGTGGGGACCCCCAACCATAAAATTACTTCGTGCCACTTCATAACTGTAATTTTGCTACTATTATCAATCACAACGTAAATATTTGGTATGCAACTTCTGTGAAAGGGTCGCGACACACAGGTTGAGAATCGCTGCTTTAGCGTGAACTAGATAGGTAACTTTTATATAAATTTCCGAGAGAGCTGGTAGCATGTATTCTGTTGTCCTTTGTGCCTATGCAGAGCCCACCATTATTTTTCCATTTTTTTTGGCATAATTATTCTGTTTTCAATTTGGAGCAATGCATGACTGAGAAGCCTGCAACCTGTCAAACTTTAGAGTTACTTAAGTGTACGTCCAACCCTTGGCCCAGATTCAGACCAATGCAAAATGCAAAATTGTAAAATTACTTAAAACATTATTAAGGGTGAAGGCTTGGCTTTTGTTTTTATTTTGGTACGCCATTTCTGGGTTCTCAAGCGTGAACTTTGTAGATGACAATGTCACCTGGTAATGTCACGCAAAATACACATGTAACTACGGAGCTCTGGATTCTAGTATGTGGCCTAATGCCAAGCTTCACTCAGTGTTGCCCAGAGAAGCGAAAGGATTGCACATTCTTGCGAGTCCAAAGCGTCGTTTTCCTGTTCTGTAAAGCAGAGGGTTTCGATCTCTTTCCCAGGTTCCGGTGACGTCCCCGGGGATGGAATGTGAGAAGCGCCAGGGGCCTAGCTCGCAAGTCGCAGAAAGGTCTGTGATCCCCCCCAAGGCTGAGTTGTGCATCCCTTCTTTTTCTCAAGCCCCTGCAGCGCGTTGTGGGGCTGGCCCGGCCGGCCGGTGGCGCCAAGTCCCTGGAGAACCGGGCAGACCCGCCTCCCGATGGCATTGTGTGCGAGGCGGAGCCGGGGCTGTAGGGCCGCCTCCTGGCGGCGCAATCCACCAGGGACATCCCCGGGGCTGCTCCTCACCACCTCCCCTTTCCCGGGCGGCCTCAAGGTGGCCGCGTCCGGGGTGAGTAAGCCAGGCTGGAGCTCCGCGGCTGCGCGTTCAGAGCGGTCATCTCCCGGCTGCCGGCCTGGTGGGTCGACGGGATGGGGCCGGGCGGGCGCGGAGTCTGCGCGATCAGGCCTCGGTGCGGCTGTCCCACGTCCCGCAGCGCGAGTGGCCGGCGGGCTGGGGGTCTGCAGAGGCCCACCCCGACGGGGCTCCGGCTCCGGCTCGGGTGCCTGCGTCTCAGAGGGAAGGGGTGGGGGGGTGGGGGTGGGGGGAGATGTTGCGCGCAGCCGGGAGATGCAGGGCGCAACCGCAGCGTCCCTTGTCCTGGTGCTGGCGTCTCCAGGCTCCTCCACCTGGAAAAGGCCCATCCTGGTGGGTCCGGGCGGGTTAGACAGGGTTTCACCTGGGGAGACAACACAGCTGAGCTGTACTTCCGCGCCCGTGGCGCCGAGTGTCCTCAGCAGGAGGTTGTCATAGGGGATTTGAAGGACTTCAGACACACCTGCTGCCGGTCGGGCACCTGATCCCGCTAGGGTCTGTGGATCCGTATCTCTTGATGGTCTGGGCTTTTCTTAGATAAGGGTGATTAACTGATGGTTTGGGGTTCGGGTTTTGGAGGGTGAGGGTGATAAGTACCCAGCAAAGGCCTTTGGGGGCGATAATTAGGACTCCGAGGGTACCCGTGCTTGCAAGGTGTAGGGAGGGGGACAGTCATGAGCACAGGAAGCTGCCCTGGCTCTGGCTGTCTCCCCACTGGTTTGGTGATGAAAGAGCAGAAAGAAGGTAATTTGAGAGTTAGAAAAGGCCTCTCTCTGTCTCATTTTAAAAACAATTAGCTGCTCTGTGTGTGTGTGTGTGTGTGTGTGTGTGTGTGTGTGTGTGTGTGTGTGTGTGAAGAATCTTCCTAGGATGTAAGAAACTCAAGGAATCTCAGACGTGGTTCAGGTTGAGCAAGTGAAATTCAAGATAGGGTGTGGATGGCTGCCCCAGCACCCTGCTGGAGAGTGCCAGCAGGGAAAAGCACAATGTTTTGTTGGTTTGTTTTCCTTTCTTCTTCTTTTTTTTAAAAGTTAATTTTAAAGAACAGGTTTGGGCTTTGTGGACACGGAAAACTCCATAAGATAGCACAAGCGTTTGTGTTGCTGACTGTATTTGAAAGAAGTCTACAGTTTTGAGGGCTAAAACCATCTAAAAAAGAATGGCTGGCCATGCTGAAGAAGAGCTTGAGGAAGAGTAGGCAGGGAGGGCCATAACAGCAACTCTGTTAATTACGGTTTATGTGCCACTTGAGGTAAGTCCTTAGTACCTCCTCCAAGCTGGGCTAGTAGTGGTGTGTGCTTTATCGGGAGGTGAGTGCAAATGCCTTGGAAGTCAGCCATCAAAAGTCTCTGTGAAGACCTTTTCTCCACAGTGGGGACATCAAAAGCAAGTTAAGTTACTCTTGGCCTGGAACTAGCAAATACAGTCCATACTGGCCTGGGGCTTGGGGCAATCCTCCTGCTCCAGTTTTCTCAGGATTATATTATAGCCATGGACCAGAACAGAACAACAGAACAATTAAGCCATGAACCACAGGTGACTCCTGGTTATTCTGGCCTTTTTTTTTTTCTTTTAATAATCAGTGAACAATGGTATGTGTCAGAATTACCCAGGTTCCTGTTTAAAATATAAATTTCTTGGCTCCACCCCAGACTATTAAAACAAAACCTTTGGGTGTGGACGCAGAAATAGGTATTTTAAGAAGAGCACACAGGGTTACGGTGCTCTGGCTAGTCCTGAAGTTAACTGACAGCTTGTGTGTGTGTGTGTGTGTGTGTGTGTGTGTGTGTGTGTGATGAGGGTTTGGAGGGCATATTTAGAATAGGTCCTCTTAAAATTTACACAATCAAGTTGCCGCCAACTTTATGTAACTGAATGTTACTGTTCCTTGTCTATAATAATGTCATTTTAAACTTTTAGACTATTTTAATGGACAATTAGTTATTTTTACCATAAAGCAGCAGCATTGTTTTTGGTAACAAGCCACCCCCCCCTCCAACCCTGGATTAGAAACACAACTTTCTCCTGCCCTGTAATGACAGCAGAAGGTGTCCCTTTTTTAAACCTTCATTCTTTTTTTATATATAACATCCCCACCGAAGTTTCCCTTCTCCTCACTCTTCCCAATCCCTCCCCCATTTCCCCTCTCCCCCAGAGCAATTCCTCCTGTTTCTTTCTCTTAAACAAACAAACAAAAACAAACAAACAAACAAACATGCCTCCCAAGGATATCCACCCAGCTTGGCCTAACAAGTTACAAAAAGACTGGCACAAACCCTCATATCACAGCTGGACAAGGCAACCCAGTAGGAGGAAAAGGGTCCCAAGTGCAGGCACAAGAGTCAGAGACACACCCCCAGCCACAGTCCCACTGTGGGAGTCCCAATAACACCAAGCTACACAACCATGAGGTATATGCAGAGGTCCTCGTTCATGTTTGTCACTTCTGGCACTGGGAGTCCTGCTTAATTGATTCTGTGGCCTGTGTTCTATGATCAGAAGGTGGACTCTACTGACCCCCACTACAGAATTCTCAGAGAGCTGAACATGACATAGAAACACTCCATGAGCGAGCTCCTGAATAGAGGGGAGGAAGTAGTAGGCACAATGCAGAGCTGTTTTAGAAAGGTAAATTGAAGGGCAAGCCTTTTCTACTGTCAGACTTTCCCTAAGATGCTTTGTATGTGTTTAATCCTTCCCCTTTCCTGATAGTCTTTATTTTCCATGCTCCCTCCTTCCCTCCCTCCCTCCCTCCCTCCCTCCCTCCCTCCCTCCCTCCTTCCCTCCCCTTTTCCTCCCTCCTTCCTTCCCTCCCTCCCTCCCTCTCCTTGTCTGTCTGTTGTCTCTCTCTATCTCTCTGTCTGGTTTTTCAAGACAGGATTTCTCTGCATAGCCTGGCTGTTTTGGAATCACTCTGTAGACCAGGCTGGACTCAGAGTTCTGCCTGCCTCTGCCTCCTGAGTGGTGGGATTAAAGGTGTGCACCACCACCACCCAGCTTCTTTCTCTTTTTAAATATGGCATCTCTTTCTTCAGTAGGCGTGGCTTATGTTATGTCCGTATTCATATAGCATATTTTAGAAAGTTATGTGTTGGGTTGATTTGAGACATCAGGAATACACAGAGTTGGGAATCTTTTTGAGAATTCAGTTTATTGGGGCTCTACTCAGGTTCTGACTTTATGATTTTTTTTAACATTTTACAAAACTTTAATTTTAGATTGCTTAAAAATTTTGAAAATGATAAAGTTCATCTAGCTTCTTCTAATAGAGTAACCCCGTTACACAGCCACAAACCTCTTATCAATACTACCTAGATTTCATTTCTCAGTCCTGTTGATGGCCTTTATTTATCAATACAATCAACAGGTGTGCAAGGTCGGCAGCTCTCACCTGGTAATGTTAGTTCCTCTGCACAGTTCCTGCTTGTGGATAGCTCTTGGCGGAGAGTCTTTACAGCTAAGCAGAGCACAAAACTTTTCATCCTCAAATTCCCATCCATTAATTGGTGAAACTGGACAGAAGCAGTGATGCCTGTAGTATTTGCTTAGTGGTGACTTTTTTTTCCTCCTGGGTCCTAAATTGGAAATTTCCTATGAGAAAGAGCTACCTTTGTCTCCAGTCCATTTTTTTTTTTTATTTGGTCACTTATATCAGTATATATACACAAGGAAATTAATTTTATTCTGTATGCTATAAAACAGGGCCAGAGTAAAAAATATTATTAAATGCTTCCAGTTTGGGAGTTGAAGTGACTTAAATTTTTAAAGCTTGTGTGTTTGTTTATTTAGTGTGTGTGTGAGTCACCTGTGCACATGTGTGCAGGTCAGAGGACAGCTTGTGGGAGTTCTATCCTACCATGTGCGTTCTAGAGACCTTGGCAACAGGCTCCCTTGCCTGACAAGCCATCTTGCTGACTTCTGAGTGGTAGTGGCTGTTGTCATTTCTGTCCCATTCTTACTTCAAAGGTGTCATAGGCGTCAGGACAGTGATCGCCCAGAAGCTCCCTAGGAGTTTGTACTCGAGCCCTAAGGAAAGTGGGAAAGTCTGTATAGTAGTCAGTTCCTGGGAGCTCTGATGGAACACCAGCCACCAGCTTTTCCTCTGTGCAGCCCCAGAGAGTCTGAGGCAGCAGGAGCAAGTGTCTGGGGCCATGTGCCCACTCACACACCCTGTCTGTGAGATAGGGGAGATGCTGACTGTACTGTTCACCAGCTGCTGAACCACCATATCCTTTCTGTCTGGTGTATGAGCACTTAGTGCATAAATGTGGTTCCCACCATGTCTGCATTGGAGGCACGGAGATGGTGTATTGCTAAAAGATCTCCCAAGAATAGATGTTTATGTCATGTTGCTATTGGTTATAGCTTATCTTCCTTATTACATTATTATTATTTTGGTTTTTCGAGACAGGGTTTCTCTGTAGCTTTGGAGCCTGTCGTGGAACTAGCTCTTGTAGATCAGGTTGGCCTCAAACTCAGAGATCCACCTACCTCTGCCTCCTGAGTGCTGGGATTAAAGGCATACGCCACCACTGCCCAGCTAGATTATTTTTATTATTATGGAAAGTTTAAAAAACACAGGAATAGAAACACCATGGGCCCTTAGGTTAATATCACTTACCTACTCAATGTTTTACCAATCTTCTTCATGTATGGACTCTTCTTTGGAGTGGCAAGCATACTTGAAAAACAAATTGCAGAGATTTAAGGTCTGGGAAAAGACTGAACTAAATAATGCTTCCCTTTCTGGCCTCCGTGGTCTAAGCCTGTGCTTAAAAGTGCCAGGTGCTCAGACCACACTTGTTACCTTGAGGGAAGAGAAAATAAAACTCTAGGGCAGATTTCTAGAAAGGAAAGGTGGGTGAGGACCGCCCTAAAATAATGCCTTGATGTCTGAATTGGCTTTCTGCAGATTCCCCAGTCATTTTCCATATAAATATCTTAATTAAATACGAGAAGGGATCCAGTTCGAGGGAGGGTCTCACCGTTAAGGAATAGTACAAAGAAGTCTGATGGTGCCGTTCTGAGCACCACCCGGGAGTTACCTGTCCCAGGGGTAATTTTCTTTTGAAATGTCATCATGTTTCTAATCGTAAAAGTATTCTATACTCATGGGAAGAAACGTGGAAATTATTAACCCAAAGGGTCTGTACTTCAGCAGGGGTATGATTATGATTATCTCGGTTAATATTCTGATACCACATGAATCACGGTGATAGAGAGCAAATACTTGGAGCTCTGTAAATACGGCAGGTGTTTGGGCGTGTCTTCTCATTAAATTCTTACGATGTCATTATGAAGTGAGCGTGTTCCGTCCGCCCACGTTTTCCATGAGCTGGGGAAACGTGGAGGGAGCTTGTCCCCAAGCCTCTGGTCACCTAGCTGAGGATGGGGTAGGGAATCTCTCTTGAATGCAGAGAGGTGTTCTGAAGCTTTCACCTCTCTTGTCTTTTACCACAGAAACAAGGACTTTTGCCTTTGAACTTTCTTCTGTTTCATGGAGGACACTTAGGCTTGTGAGGGGTAAGTGATTTTAGCTGGGCCAGAGTTAGTATCGATAAATGCCGGGATGGAGGTCTAATTGCTAAGGAAGCGTTAGGCACACTCTCGGCTCTGAGGATGGGTGTCTTGTCTTTGAACAAATTTCTTATACTGCAGTTCGGGAATGTTGGTTTATCATTCTTTATAGCTCCTCAGTTCTCAGGGAGAGTTCTTAAAACTTTAAGGCTAGCGAGATGGCTCATGATCAAGACTCCTGCTCCTCCGGAGGGACTCACGGTTCGTTCCTAGCACCCACACCGGGCAGCTCACAGCTGCCTGTGACTCCAGCTGCAGGGGACAGGATACTCTTTTCTGGCCTCTGCTGGCATATGCACTCACACGTGCATACCCGTATGCAGACAGATGCATAATTACACACAGTCTTAGAAAAGTATTTAGAACAATTTTAGGTTCACAGAAATTGAACTGAAGGTATGAAGTTTTCGAACCCCCCCCCCACCTGTAGATTGTTTGTTTGTTTTTATTTTTTTTTTCAAGTCAGGGTTTCTCTGTGTAGCCCTGGCTGTCCTGGAATTTGCTCTGCAGACCATAATGGCCTAGAACTCACAGAGATCTGCCTGCCTCTGCCCCTCAAGTGCTTAAGTGACTAAATGCATGTGCCACCCCCACCCAGCCAGGTTTGAAACTGCTTTAAGTCAAGCCTCCCTAAACCCTGCAAATGAGAGTCCTACACCTGTGGTTTAAAAAAAAAATCCTTCCTGCTTCTTTTTCTTTCTTTTTTTCCACCTCGCTGCTTACGCTGCATTTTGTGACCATAGGCTCCTTGAATTCCATGGGCGTTTCCAGGCAGTGTCCCCATAAACAGCTTTAGGAAAGCAGTGTTCAGAGGCCAGATTTACAATAGGTTTTTATGAAGCACGATTACCAGTCCCCACATTGAAGTTTCCCCGAAATGAAGTCCACAAGTCCACGAGAGGTTGTCTCGCTGGTCCAGAGTCCTGATGACTTCCTGGCAGCTGAAGGGAAGAGAGCAAGCCTCCAGGCAGGCATGTGAACTCGTCCCAGGAGAGGGACAGGAAGATGGAGGAGAGCTAGAGGGCCTCCAGAGGCTTCTGTTGAGTGTGTTGGGCCTATCCAGGCATGAAGGGAAGAAACAAAGAGTCTGCCTGAGGGTTGTGACTGATGAGCACAGGAACTCACACCCAGCTCTGCCCCCTAACCAGGTGTGCGGTCCCGGGCATGTCAGCTGTCCTTTGTGAGAGGCTTTAGTGGGTCAAGGTGCTTATGGCAAGCCTGATGCCTCAATCTCAACCCTGGGCAGTTTCATCATGGGCAAACCACATGCCGAGATGAGAGAAGACCAGATCCACAAGCTGTCCTCTAACCTCTGTGCCTGTGCCCCGCCCCATACAGAAGTGTAATTTTACAAACAAGTAGACTAAAATTCTTATCTCACAGGAAGTTGTCTATTGTCCCCATTGTCCTTATGCGTTGACGCCTTAGTTCCCAATGTGATGGTGCGTGAAGGTGGGGCACAGGTACCCCACCCCTTTGGGACATTTAGGTTAAGGTGTGGTTGTGAAGGTTCAGCCTTGATGTTGGAGTTAATAGTCATATAAAAAGAGCAAGAGATATGAAATTTGGATTTTAATGTTTGCACCAAGAAAAAGCCATTGGGGATATAACCAGTACCAGGGGCTATAACAAGAGACTGACCATACTGAACCCCAATCTGAGATTTCCAGAAAGATCCCATAAGCAGCAGAGCTCATGTCCCACTATTTTATTGTAACAGACAAACAGAGTGAGACCAAGGGGCTGCAATCTGTGCAGCTGCCTTACAACAGGCCTGCACAGAACCCCAGGTCACCCCACAGACAGTCTACCAGTGTACACAGGGAGCTGTAGTTGACGTCAGGGAGGGCTCCAGCCTGCTCTGATGAGGATCTCAGAGTGAGTGGCATATATACTTAGTGTATGTCTGCATTTCCTCTTTCTTTCTTATCACTTAAGATTTACCCAGGAACCTTTCCTTGTTGGTCCTTACTTAGAACCGTCCGTTTGGCTATGGAAATTATCCAAAGTCTGGCTTGAGGCATAATGTGACTTTGATGGCACACAGAGGATGTGGGGGTGCTGTAAGCTGTGACCCACAAGGCCTCAGCAAGTATCCTTACCATCTAGTGAATTTACCGGTATTGGTGGTGGATCCTAAGTACCCCGAAGAGCTGGATTTTTGTTAGTAACTAAGAGCATAGCTCCTCGTAGAGGTGAATTTGTATCATCCCATCTCATGGTACTGAAGTATGAAATAAGGACAACTTATCACCTATGAAAAACACCATTGGTACAGCGGTGGTCCAGGTGGCTGCCAGTACATCTGCTCACGGGCCATCACTGGCCTCTTTCATGTAGCAGGGAGAGGAATGGTCACTCTCTGGTGGCCACTTGAGTATGTACAGGAGGCTGGTCAGGACTTTGTATGTAGTCCAGCCCTGCAGGAAGGTAGATGTTATCTAGGTGGGTATCATTTTACCCCCACTTTCCAGATAAGGAAGTAAGGCTCATTGAAGTGGCCGGGCATAGATCTCATGGCTGATAGGTGGTAGAACTGTTTTCTGTCTGAACCCGAGTTCTCGATCTTTACTTGTTTTTCTCATAGATTGTTGACATCTTATGTTTGGGTCCCCTTATGTTTTCTGTCCCATCCTACCTCTTTCGGGACTTTGCCCTGGGCTAGCATCTCACTGAGACTGCAACTCAACTGGGATTGGGTTTCTAATGTGTGCTGAGGTCTTTCGTTTTAGGACCGGATTTCCACCCCCAAACAACACATCCTTTGTGATTGCCTTTCAGTGGTCTCTGAACTAGAACCGCTGGGACATGGCAGACGTCAGCTCCTAGGTTGTCAGCACGTTCTCAGTCGGACCCGAAAAGTATAATTTGGAACTTCTTCACTCCAGCTGAAGCAGAGATACGCATTACCCACAAAAGAAGAGCCATGGGCTGCAACCCGCCGTGCCTCCTCCCCTACAGACTACGTCTGCTGCTGTTCTTTACCCTGTGCCTGACTGTGGTTGGATGGGCCACCAGCAACTATTTCGTGGGTCCCATTCAAGTGATCCCCAAGGCAAAGGACTTCATGGCTAGTTTCCACAAGGTCATTCCTTTGGGGAAGGAAGAAACGCTGGCCCATGATGTCATGGAAAAAGCAGAACTTGGCAGCTGCCCTTCTGTGTCTCCAAACCTTAGTAAGTATCTGCCCCAGCCCCAGGGAATCTCAGCTCCCCGTGTGCTCCACCTGCTGTGTTGGTCACAGTGTGGTGCTTATTGGTTAGTGTCTGTCTCTGGAGAGACAGTAAGCAAACAGCGTGTAACTGGGTGTTCTAGCTGTGTAGTAGAGCTGCTCTCCCAGACAGGCATCTGTGGCTCCCTGTGTGCACCAAAAGAGTGGTCTGTAGGGTGGCCCGGGGCTCTCTGCAGACCTGTTCTTAGCCTGCTGTGGAAACTGCAATCCCTCTCTCTCAGCATGCTTCAGGCTGTTGAGAGAGGCCACACTTGTAAGGTACAGCTTGTAAACAGCTTGTCCACGGTTTGTGGGCTCTTAAAAGGGGGTGTAAAGAACAGGGAAGGTTTGAATAGCCTTTGACTTCAGGTCAGAAAATGGGGGTTAGTTACTTCAGCCTGGTATCTGAAGCTTTGCCCAGGATCGATTACCACAGTCTTGAGTTTCACGGGCAGATGCTGTGTTAGCTGGAAATGTCTGCCCTGGTGCCCTTCCGGGAGAGGAGGCATGGAGTATATGTCGCCATCACCCTGGCTAGGGAGTCTGGTGGGCTTCAGCCCCTTCCTGGTGCCTTGCCTGCAGGGAGGAGCTAAACATGGGGGGTATGGGGCAGAAGTAGGAAAAGGGCCCTGTGAGGGAATTGGAGTCTATAGAATGTTCGGCTTTTCTGTTCCATCCTTCTTTGGTGGAGGAGCTACTCCGCCCTTTCTGATCTCCAGTGAGCAGTGTAGTGGCTGTGCAGTCTGCATGCCTCCTTCAGAAATGGATCGCGGAGGCCAAGTGGCTCGCCCAGGCAAAGGAAGAGCCAACCCTTCATCGGAACCAGCCGTGTGAACCCTAGAGCCCCATGCCATGGCCCCTCTTATGACAATGCCTCGTGTTGATTGCAGGAGGCCAGAGCAAGCTCATTTTTAAACCAGACCTCACTTTGGAGGAAGTACAGGCAGAGAACCCCAGAGTGTCCGGAGGCCGGTGTCATCCCGAGGGATGTAAGGCCTTGCAGCGGGTGGCCATCCTCATTCCCCACCGGAACAGAGAGAAGCACCTGATATACCTGCTGGAGCACCTGCACCCCTTCCTGCAAAGGCAGCAGCTGGACTAAGGCATCTACATCATCCACCAGGTGAGTGCGGGCCTTTGCTGGGCCCTGCCCTCTGCAGAGGCAGCCACATGTCTGTTTGCTTTGGGTGAAAGGATCATTCTCGAAAGGAGAGTGCTCTTCCCTCACCCTGAGAGAGCAGAGGAAATTCTGATCCCTAACGTGGAGCCACCGAACAAGTTCCGTGAAGTGTTTCTATTCTAAAATGTACCCCAGGAGGAAACCTGTTTTTGCAAGCTCTCCCATGTTAGCCAGCACTTGCCCATCCACACCCCTGAGCTCTCCTGTCTCCTGGTCCTTCTGGGTTTGCCGTGCCACACCATGTGGGGTTGGGCTTTTGCCTGTTGTTACGGAGTGTGGCTGTGCAGGAGAGATCGCAAGAGTAATGTCTCGGAGTGCCAAGTGGTCCAGCCAGCCAGTTCTGTGGCTTTCTAATCACCCCGGCCTTTAACTCCACCACCATTTATCATGCCAAACAGACAAGCTTTACTTTTTATTTTCTTGACTTACTTGTTTGGCTTCCAGAAACAGTTAGTAGGAACGGCACATAATCTACTGTAGGCTGACTCGGAAGAGTTCAGCTCTAAGGTCAGTCGGTCCATGGTGGGTGACTAAAGATGCCTCTATTTGGTATTGAAGTTTATTAAAGGAAAAATAGAGCATCAGTTTGAACATTGGTGTCTAATCTTTTTTGCTATCGTCGTGGGCCATTAAAATAATGCCCCATTAAATCCTTATAAACTCATGAGAGTATGGACAAAAATCATTAGCTGCTTGCTTAATATCGGATGTAGCTGATAATACCAATTTTGGGTAGAATCAACAGCTCATGGGTTCTCCTGTGTGGTGTATACTTTGAGAGACTTGATAACCAGGGGCTTATCTAGTACATCTGTGTCTGGTTTTTTAGATTTGAAATAAAACTTTAGAGTTTATTTTTAAGATTTATTTTATTTTATGTATATGAGTGTTTGCCTACATGCATGTAAGTATATCATGTGCATGACCGGTACCCATCAAGGTCAGAAGAGGGTGTTGGGTTCTCTGGAACTGGAATTACAGGTGGCTGTGAGCAGTCAGGTGGGTGTTGGGAGCCAAACCCATTATCCTCTGCAAAGCACCAATTGTTCTTAACCGCGGAGCCATCTCTGTAGCTCCTGCAGCAGTTCCTTGTTTGGGGTTTGTTCTTTGAACAGGGACTTATGTCTCCCAGACATGCCTGAAATACAGCCAAGAATGATTGATCTTCAACTTCTCATCTTCCTGCCTCTGCTTCCCAAATACTGGGACTGTAGGCAGGCATCACCACACCCGGTTCCTCTGGTGCTGGAGGTTGAACTCAGGGACTTATAGGTGCTGACAAGCATTCTACAAACTGAGCTAAATCTCCAGCCCACTTATTTTGCTTTGGAATTAATTTTGTTTTTAACATCATTGGTCAAAACAATGATTTATTGAGTCTGAGTTCCTACACAGGATGGGTAGCTACCAAAATATGGCACTATTTTTAGTTTGTTTTCAAAAGTTACTGTGTGTGTGTGTGTGTGTGTGTGTGTGTGTGTATGTGTGTGCGTGTGCATGGCAAACACGAGTTGTTTGTCTTCTTCCACGTCATGGAGTCCTGGTCTCTCTTACTGCTTCTGCTGTTGACACTCCAGGGTAGCTTCCCTGAGAGCTTCCAGGCCATTCTGTTTCTGCCTTCTGCCTTGTTGCAGGAGCTGGGCTTGTGGGAGTTTGTATCTCATATGACTTTTCTTTTCTTTAGTTGGGTTAGTCATTGGCTGGCCACTCCCACAAGTTCTGCACCACCTGCACCCCAGCACATCTTGCAGGCAGGACCAATTGTAGGTTGAAGGTTTTGTGGCTGGGTTGGTGTCCCAATCCTTCCACTTGCCTGGTTACAGAATCATCCCACTTTTTATGTGAGTTCTGTGGATTGAACTCAGGTTGTTAGGCATATGTGGCAGTCACCCAAGCTTCCTTTTTTTTTTTCAAGACTTATTTATTTATTATGTATACAACATTCTGACTCCATGTATGCCCGAACACCAGAGGAGGGCACCAGATCTCATTACAGATGGTTGTGAGTCACCATGTGGTTGCTGGGAATTGAACTCAGGACCTCTGGGAGAACAGCCAGGGCTCTTAACCACTGAGCCATCTCTCCAGCCCCCCAAGCTTCCTTTTTTCCCCTGCTCCTCTTCCTGCACCTTCTCCTACCTCTCTGCTCCCTCCCTTCCCCAGATTGGCCAGGCTAGCCTGATGAAACCTCTGTCCTCTTGCCTCTGCTCTGCCTCTAAGCACTGAGATCATAAGCCTGTGCCAATACCCCTGGCTAGGTTCCATATCACTTGTATAAAGAGAAGCTCTTCACTCTGTTACTCTTTAGGAAAGTGTTGTGGTAACATCTAAGAATTGCTTGTAACCTTGTTATGATTAGCTGTCAAATCAGACTTCATTTTTACATTTGATTTGCGTTGAACACAGCAATACTGAAAAGTCCTGGGGTCATACTGCATGTCAAGTATTGATGACACTGCAGGTCAGGTTTCTTAAGGTCCCTCTGCAAGGCCACTGAGGAACAGCCTCTTCCATTGGTGTTGTAACGAGAGTTTTTCTTAAGTCATTTCCAAGAAAGTTTTAGGTAGCTTAAAGTATTAGCAGCAGCCTTCTCTGCTGTTAGGTCACAGTTTCGTGATCCCTGTTGGCAAGCTCTTAGCCTCGTCTCTTGGAAGTTCAGTGTGAGTGAGTAGGTTAGCTGGGATCAGCTGAGAGCTGACAGAGAAGCCGTGACACTAATCGACATGGCAGGTTCCTTCAAGAGGTTTTGTAGTTTTATAAGGAATTAGGAAAGACTCTTTAGAGATTGTATTTAGAACACTTGATATGGCTCTAGCCTCTTAATACATTTGAGGGCCAAATTAGTGTTGCTTTATTGTGTTTTTAAACTACATTAATTTTTGTGCTAAAATACCACATAAAATGTATCAGCACTTTTTTTTTAGTTTTTTAAAAACTGCCTTGTTACTGTTTAAGTGTGCTCATCTGTAGTATTAAGTGTGCGGGGTGGGGTGTGGGAAGACTCTCAGCAGTGGAGAGCGCATCGTGCTCTGGCAGAGGACCAGTCTGGCTCCTCGCACTCACTCCCGGCCACTCGCGACTGTGTGTAACTTAGGCTCTAGGGGATCCAACGCCTTTGTACCTTAACAGGCACTTACTGTATTCATGTGGCATATTCTCACATGGGTAGACATACACACACACACACACAATGAAAAATAAAATAATTTTTTAAAAACGAAGATTTGTCTGATGTGGTATGATGGTTCATGTTGTTATCTCAGCATTTGGGATTCTGAGGCAGGAGGATTGCTGTGAGTTCCAGGCCAGCTTAATCTACAGAAGGAGGAATATTTCAAAAACAAAAACAGAGTAAATATATTGCCATGTAACCTACCTACTTTTTAGTCTTTCTAAGCAAACTATTCTCCATTTTCACCTTGCCAGAGTCAAGGGGATGCTTTTAAATTACAGAATATAATAACTATGTGTGAAACACAAAACCAAAACTGTTTTCTGCTATCATTGCATCTGTTAGATCCTAGTGTGTGTTGTCCTGTGAAGGAACAAAAGTAATGTACCACTCTGAAATGGGTGTGAGGGGGAGGACAATGGAGAGCTTATCTCTGGAGCACTTTCGTTTTTATTTCCATCCTCAATAGACTGGAAGTAAGAAGTTTAATCGAGCCAAGCTCCTGAATGTGGGCTATCTGGAGGCTCTCAAGGAGGAAAACTGGGACTGCTTCATATTCCACGACGTGGATTTGGTGCCGGAGAATGACTTCAACCTTTACACGTGTGGCGATCAGCCCAAGCACCTGGTGGTTGGCAGGAACAGCACTGGCTACAGGTGAGGCTGCTCTGGCTGTGCAGGGTGTTCCACTGTGATCAAGGCTGTAATGTGTCCAGAGTGAGTGAGGAAACCGGGAGAGGTTGGGGGGGGGGGGAGAGGAGACGACCCATTTTCCCTTAATGTGCCGAACAGCAATGAAAAGATGAAATAAGGAAGCAAAAAGGCCTCCCACAACCTTGGCAGGAAGCACAAAGACAAAGAGAAAGGAGAGGAGAATGTAATCCAAGCATAGCAAATCGTAATGGCCTCGCCCTGCAGGACCTGTGGCAGGACACGTTATCTCTTTTTAGGATAGCTTGCCGGAGTTCTAGGGAAAGGTGGGGTGCACCTTAATAGTCTTCTTGGAACCAGGATATCCAGGACAAACCCATTTCCTTCAAAGCCACCGTGGGAAAATGCCACCAGCCCTTCATCCCTCTCTACTTCTGTCCCCAGGAGAGGAACAAATGGTTTTAATTGGATTTTATACCAGCTCCTAGTCAAATATAACAAAGGGAAATAGGGATTAAGATAACTTCTGGTAAATTAAACTGATAGCATGTGCACTTCCCTGTACCTTCCTCCAAGTCCTGCCGTTCATGTGTGCAGTTATGACACTAGGCTAGGGGCCAAGAAGTCGGGTTAAAGAGGCAGCCTGAGTCCTGATCTACTGAGACCGGAAGTGCCTATGGAGATGCGTTAATCTGCAAACACAGCTGAAAGCACTTAAGTTAGGGAGGGGGAGGAAGTCAGTAGGAAGCTAAACTAAACTGTGAGGTAGGCAGAGGGGGAGGAGACTGTGCCAGAGCATATAGAGTGCTAAGGGAAACTGAGTCTCTTGACATCTTCCTCGGTCTTTGCTTCCATGTTGCTTCTGCAGTCTAGGTCTCTCACTTTGGACTATTTAAGAGAATCCATTTGTAACTCTCATGAAAATGTCTGTTAGGGTAGGAGTGTAACTCACACCTGCCTCCTACTTATGAGGTCTGATGTGGGATTCCCCTCTGTGTGCTGTGAATATTATAGGTGAATAAAGAAACTGCCTTGGCCTGTTGATAGGGCAGAACTTAGGTAGGTGGGAAGTGGGGGAGGGGAGGAACTAAACTGAATGTTGGGAGACAGGAGATGGGGTCAGGGAGAAGCCATGTTGCCCCACTGGAGACAGACACTGGGAACTTTACCTGGTAAGCCACAACCACGTGATGATATATAGATTACTAGAAATGGGTTAAATTAAGATGTAAGAGTTAGCCAATAAGAAGCTAGAGCTGATGGGCCAAGCAGTGATTTAAATAATATAGTTTCTGCTGAGCAGCTGGGAACTAACAAGTGGCCTCTTATAACAGAGGTCTCTGTGATGAAGCAAAGTTGAGCCCACTGAAGTTTACCCCAGGAGCAACTGTTTATTAGGCTTATTTATAGAGCGTGGGTGAGGAGCTACTGGTGGGAGGATGTGTGACTTTACTAAAGCAGTCTCTCTGGAAGGTCTGCACCAATCATCGGGGGCAGCTTCCCCGTGCCCACATAGATGGTGGTCCATTGGGGTAACCTCCCCTAGCCTATGTACCTCAGCACCTCCCCAGACCTCAAGGCTGTGTGTAGTTAGGGCATTTCCTGCACATGGCTGGGAGGAGTAACCGGGAACAGAGGCAAGGGTCCAGAGGCAAGGGTCCAGAGGCAAGGGTCCAGTGATGCTCTCTGCTCCCTCCTTAAACACAGAAGTGTCAACAGTCCATATGCCCAATTGGGATCAACTCTAACTCTGAGCCTTAAGCTTCCCGTTCCTTCTGAGAAATTTTTTTTTCTTTTTTCCTTCTGAGAAATTTTAAGGACAGGCCTTGGACAATTTTAAGGACAGGCCTTGGACTGATTGTATCATTGTGTTAACCTGCCATCAGTGGGCAGAGACGATTGCCCATTCCTGGTGGGAACTGATTTTGACTTACACGTTGGTGTCACCAACATGGATTCCATCAAATGCTGTGCACGCTAAGAGACAGGCTGTGCCTGAATCTTGCAGCTTAACTTATCCTTACAACTGACCAAACATTGCTGCTATTCCCAGACACCCCACAAGCCTTTGTCTCCCTTACTTAATTAAATATGTTTATCTTTTGATATAAATGCAAGCTCCAAGGAAAATTGTGAACCTCTTTTAGAAACTGAAAATCATGCCGACCGGAGTGTGTGTGTGCGTGCACATGTGTGCACACATGTTGATGGAGTTAAACAGAAGGCCCTTGCAGTATGCAAGTTCTCTACAACTGAGTTACACTAGCCCGGTGCATCATAGCTTCATCTGTTCAAAATTAGAGTTTACATTCTTAAGTAAATTTTATTGCTTTAATTTTTCGTGTCTTCTTGTATCCATCATTCCATCATACAAATGCCTTTTTTTTAATTTTTTTTTTTTGGCCTGGAAAAAGTAGGCCTTCTCTCTCCCTAACTTTGCTATCCTGGGCAAAGTCCTGCCGGTGGCTGGTGAGTTCAGTTACAGGCACTCAGTCTGTATCACTGTGTCATGGAGCCTCACTCAGCTCAGGCTTCTTCACTGGCCCCTTTTGACCATGGCAGGCATCTTCCAGTAACTCGCCAAATGGCAAGCACAAGGGAAAGTGGAAGGACACAAGCTATATGCTTTCCAGGACTTTTAGGAAACATGGAGTTGTTCCTTTGGCCACATACAAGCGAGTCTACATGAAGGATGATATTGTAGACACCAAGGGAATAGAAACTGTTCAAAAACGAATGCCCCTTAAGTGTTATCATGGCACAGCTGGAAGAGTCTACAACATGACCCGGGATGCTGTGGGAATCATTGCAAGCAGGCAAGTTAAGGGCAAGAATCTTGCCGAGAGAATTAATGTGTGGATTGAGCACATCAAGCTTTCCCAGAGCTGAGACAGCTTCCTGAAGCAGGGGAAGGAGAAAGGAAGCAAAAGAGAAGGGCACCTGGGCTCAGCTGCGGTACCAGCCTGCTCCACCAGAGCCTCACACTCTGTGAGGATGGACGGGTAAGGGCCTGAGCTGCGGGGCCCATTCCATGTGGACTCATGGCTTAATGTACAAGAGGGAATTAACGGCCTGGACGGTGGAAACGAAGCAAACAACAAGAAATGTTTTCACTTGCCACACCTTCGGCGTGATGAAGTTAAAGGAACTTACCCAAGTATTTCAGCCTCATGGTGAATTTTACTACCAAGAATTCCCCTGAACCCGCCCCCTTTCTCCAAGGACTCCACTGTAACTGTTCGACATTTTCCTCCTTCTGGGGACCTAACAGCCCTTTAAAACACGTGTGTAAACTCACCTGAGGGCCTGTTAAAACACATCCTTTTCCAGAAAAGGGACCAAACGCAAAAGTCAGAAAACGCAGAGCGGTCTGCTGGCAGCAGTGGCTAGAGCAGTTCTTAGTTTTCTCCAGAGGCACCCGCTGCTCCTCCACACCCAGCTGATCCCACCCGCTGCTCCTCCACAGCACAGCTGGTCCCACCCGCTGCTCCTCTACAGCACAGCTGGTCCCACCCGCTGCTCCTCCACACACAGCTGCTCCTCCACAGCACAGCTGATCCCACGTGCTCCAGTCTCGGTGCTCCTTAGCTCCTCCTCGTCCTCACTGATTCTCACCACCAGATCCCACCTTTTCTGCAGATCCAGGTCCTTCCAGGCTCTGCTCCTTGCTGTGGTAGTGATTCCTTTCTAAGAACCCTGGCATTGTTCAGTTCTGAACTCTAGGAGGGAATAGCATTGCTGGCACTGTGCCCTCGGCCATCATGACAGTAATTGCCGTGTTCTAAATATTTTATTTCTTTTTATTGGTTTTAGGTTTGAATTTCCCAGAATTTTAGGTGCACAAATGTAATTGTGATAGTCAGTCGTGGTTGTCAAACTTGATAAGACTGAGAAGTGCCAATGAGTTAGTTGAGTGTACCTCAGGAATGCATATAAGGGCATCTCTAGAGACAGTTAGATCCTAAGGGCTCTGAGCTAATCAGTGGTTTAGCTGATGAGTTTGTGATCTGATAGCATTAATGGAAAGAGACGGGTATTTTTAGAGGTGGGGTCTACTCGGAGGAAGTAGGTCACTTGAAGTGTGTTCTTGGGGGTGGATTTTATCCTGCTCCCCTTCCTCATCTTTGTGGCTTGACTGTCATGAAGTGAGTGCTGTCTCCACTGGCCATACCTTTCCCATCAGGAAATTCTCACTTGCCACAGGCCTGGAAGCAGTGGAGCCAGCTGGCCACGGATTGGAGCTATGAGACAGAATAAAAATTTCCCACAGACATTCGCCTTGATTATCATCTGGTTAACATGACTAAATCTGTTTCTATAATGGCATGCCTAGGGTTTGTACTAGGAGTGTAGAAACTCCTCAGCCCCAGAGACGCCTTGGGGATGCCGCTTGTTAGGTGGGAGATGTCTACAGTGGGTTTGATTTTTCTTCTTGTCTGGGAGACATCAGTATGCAGTTGGCCCCAGACATTTAGAACTGAAGTTGGCTGAGGTTAGAAATCCTCCATGTGGTCCCCTGGTCGTTCAGTGACTCCCTCCACCTGCAGTTATGCGGAGGGGGGGGGGGTAGCCTCATCTCAGCTTGTTGATGTCACCGAAATGCAGAAAAGTCCTTGTGTCCTGGAGGATTCGTGACGTGACTCTCCTCCTTCCCCTGGCTTTTAGCCGCCTCTCTCCCGTGTCAGTCTTAACAGCAGTCCCACGCATGCTCAGGTCCTCTTGTTCCCTCTTGTTTCCCGTGATTTTTGCTACTCTGGGATCCTCAAGTGCTCACGACTGCCGAGTTATCTGTAGCCACAGGTGTCTCGTGAGCTTGGACCCTGCTGCACCCTTTGCCTGTGGGCAAAAGGCCCAGGAGCATCTCAGATTCGGCCTAAGAATAATTCATCACCTTCCCCTCAGCACCAAACTACCTTCTTCATACTCACTTTTCAACAAAGGCACCGCATTCCCCGCAGCTGCCCAAGCCGGGAGTTCAGGGCAGTGGGCTGGGCTGTTGACTCCGGTAGGAAACACTGCAAGATGGAGATTTGCAGAGTGAGCACACTTGTAGCATGGCCTGGAACTGTCTGTCTCCTGATCCACACTGCTTCACTCCCAAGAGAGAAAGAGGTGAAAAAAAATTTTATGATGACACTCATTCATGCTGAGCATGGATGCGACCCAGACTCCTTCTCTACCTGTTTCCCTTAGCAGCTGCTACCATTGGTTGGATTGGCATATGGGATGGAATCTCTCACTGACATTTGAGCAGGTATCCTTACAGGTCTCCGGATACCAGTGTTACCAATATCAGGGATGAGGCGGTAACCTTGCTTAGTGGGGTCATCTTGCTCAGTGATATCAACAGCAGATCAAATGCCTGGAGAACAGGGAGAGAGACATGAGAAAAGACTAAATGAACGGAATGGGTGGAGGTGTATCCTCAAGTGTTCCTGGAGTGCCATTCCCAGAGCTCGGGAGTGCTGGAGTGTCTGTGGGAGCAGAGGGTTCTTATGATAAATGTCACCACCTTTCTCTCTTCCTCTTTTGCTGCAGGTTACGCTACAGTAAATATTTTGGGGGTGTTACTGCCCTCAGCAGAGAACAGTTTTTCAAGGTGAATGGATTCTCTAACAACTACTGGGGATGGGGAGGCGAAGACGATGACCTCAGACTCAGGTGAACAGCAGAGAAGGGAGCCTTCATGGGGCTCTGCTATCCGGGATGACTCTGGAAACCTGTGCTTGTGTGTAGCTCTTGTGAATTCCAGGCCAGCAGGTCTTAGGGCTGCAGAGCTGGGCTGACAGGGAGGGCCGGGTATGGAGGGAAGGCAGAATGACCTAAATTGTTCTTTGTCACTGGGAGCCTAGAAACCAAGGAGGATGTTCTGTTGCTGAGTGTGGGGGGCAGAGGTGTTGGTGGGGGCCTTGGGTTCCACTAGTGAATGAGAAGGCCCAAACTTAAGGTTGTCTGTAAGACTGCCCCTCTGAGAATGGCCTGTAAGTCTTGTGCTTTCCTCAGACCCCAGAGCCCTGACACTGTTCCCAGCATGTGGAGCAGAGTGCTGTCTTCTCTAAGGAGGGGGCATATGCCCCAAAGAAGGCAAGGGTGTCCTTTAGCTGTGCAGTGTGGGAGCTATTGAGTTGGAAGGCTTACTCTGGGCTGCTGGTGTAATTCCTGGATCCCTTCAGACAGCTCTCTGCTCTAGAGGGCCGAGAGAAACTCCTCAGGATGCCTGGCCTCTTTTAGTTTTCTGTTCCTTCTCCAGAACCTTCCTTCTTTCCTTCCTTCCTTCCTTCCTTCCTTCCTTCCTTCCTTCCTTCCTTCCTTCCTTCCTTCCTTCCTTTTTTTTTTCTGTGACTTGAAGGTTAAAGGCATTCCCATTACTCAGAAATTACTGTTCAAAAGTCTATGGCCCATATGTCAGAGTTCTTAGCATCACAGGGGACCTTTTCCCCTTCCCATCCTCACTGCCTCTTGGAGAGTATGTTCTCAGCTGTAGTTCTGAATTAATAGACATGTGACTAGCAAATTCCCCCTGGGTTGGTGGGAAGGAGCTAAGGCCTCATGCTGGTTAGTCTTGTTCCCAGTGGGCAGAGAGCCTTTGCCTTGTTTCTGAAAAGGGAGATTTTCCTACCTAAGGGCTCCCTGTCGTCCAGCCCCTCAGCAGCCACAATCCACAGACTGTTGGATTCAGGGTAGGGGCAGAACGGGTTAGAGGGAGCCGGCTCTCTTTTCTCCCCCAGGTCCCTTGCCCCACCTAGCAACAGTAGACTGTTGCTATGGCTAAGTACGCTTGCTGTCTCATTTCCTGCTGTTCCTCAGTTGTAAGGGAGAGGGAACCCCTCGGTTTTGGTTTCCTTTGGTGTCAGCAGTGGTAGGTTTGCCGCCTTCAGCAGCCTCAGGGTTCTCTTTGGAGATCTCTGCTTGCTGTAGAAAAGAGCTCCAGGACAAATCAGTAGAAAGCAGAATTGGAATTTATTTAAAGGTATTCTTAGTATAGATTAGGTGCAGGTGTTCATATAAATAGAGGGTTTTGGGGGGGGGAAAGAATAAGACACACCCATGTGTAGGTGTGGGCTTCTCTAGGGGAAATTGTCTGTCTCACGCGTGCAAGCTGGTGTGCACAGATGCACACCCCTTCGATCCCGTGCTCTTCTAGATTGTTTAAAGGGTATAAATTACAAGGCTTAAGAATCTTTTAATCTTTAATTTTTATTTTATGTATATGAGTGTTTTGTTTGCGCAGGCATGTCTGTGCACCATGTACACGCAGTGCCTGTGGAGGCCAGAAGAGGGCGTCGGAATCCGCCTGGGACTGGAGACAGGCGTGAGCATTAAGTGGGTGCTGAGGATTGAACTCAGGTCCTCTGGAAGGGCCACAGGAGCACTTAACCACGGAGCCATCTCTCCGGTCCCACAACAAGGTTTAAAGATTACTCAACACTTGATGCTTGAGTAGAGTTTAAGATCTATGCGCTGACTTGCTCATTTCTCTCCCAGAATTTCCTTTTGTAAATGAAATTGGAATGTTGTTTCAGGAAATGGGTTATTTAGATTTAGGGATGAGAGAGGCCTGCTACCATGGAAAAACCTCAAGGGTAGAATAAACATTTTGGCCCAGGCAGACACTGTTGTCTTTAGCACTGAAGTTTGAGGTGTCTGTAGGAAAACCCTGCATTATCTCTGTAGGCGGTGCTGGCCTTATCAACAGCGCTGAAATTTCCTTTCTGCCTGCAGGAAAGGCAGCTAGATCCCAGGGTGAGGGGGTTCTTCCTCTTCCCATGTCCCTTTGCTTTTCTGTCCTTCTGTCCTGCCTTCATGGGAACATCATGGTCTGCAGAACAGATCTCCGTTCGTGCGCTGGATACCCCAGGAAGGGAGGGATGTAACACCGGCTGAGATTTGCTAAGGTTGAGCACCGCATCTGTGCTCCTATAGAGTGCATTGCGTCTGCAAAGCGCATTCCAGGGAATCCTGTTACCTGAGCCTTTGAAATGTGTAGTCTATGCCACCAGCCTCACTTCTACTTAGGCTGAGGTCTGGTGGGATCAGCTGATCAACACACTTGTCAGTTACAGAGCTTAGATTGAACATCGGTTTGTGGCTTTAAAGATTACAGCTCTACACAGCCCTTCCTTTCCTTGTGATGAGACAGCATTATTAATTAGTGTCTGACAGACTTGATGGTCTTGCCCTTTGGAATGCATTACAGTTAACATTTTTTAATCAGTTTTCCTCTTTTTAAAAACAATTAACTACAAATTGGCGTTTCTCCACTAGTGAGTGCTAAATATCATTTCTTTGTGTGTGAGATAGGGTCTCACCTGCATTTCACATCAGCTTGGAACTCACTGTTTGAGGCTTAGGCTAGCCTCAGCTTCTCCCCGCACCTCCTGCCTCTGGCCAGCATCTCCACTCAGTCTGCTGGAGTGACAGGTGTATGTTACCATTTGAAGCTGCTTTTAGTGTTTGGATGATCTTTTTCTAAAATAGGACACTGAAATTTTTGCGATGTGTTTTAGCAATCGCATAGGGTTATAGGATGTACTGTTTGCTAATTCCTGCCAAGTGTCTGGTGGCACGTTGCTTTCAGAGCACAGTGACTGGTCTCATCGTGGCTGTGAGTAGCATCACGCTGTTCCAGCCACCTCTGTGTGTTTGTGTGTGTGTGATTTTTGTTTTTAATTGCAGGCAATTCTCTTTAAGTGTGTTCAGTGGTAAAGAAATGGGCTAGATTTCAAAATAAACCTTGTTATTTTTCTAGGGTTGAGCTCCACAAAATGAAAATCTCCCGGCCTGATCCTGATGTGGGCAAATACACTATGATCTTCCACACCAGAGACAAGGGCAACGAGGTGAATGTGGACCGGTAAGCTCTGGAGGCCCCGCCTGGCTCCGGCGGGGTGCTGAGTCCCTTGTGTGGCCAACACACCAGGTCGGACTGACCACATAAGCCTGTTCACCTTGTTAAAACCTTTTGATGAAGGAGCTTTTAAAGCAGAACCCAAATAAGGGAGAACAGAACATAAGCCCCTTATTTCTATGATCGTGAACTCCGGGCTTCTTGGCTTTGTCCCACTGGATTCTTTTTCATAGCATCTGTGTGTATGTATTTTCACACGCATCCTTAAAATATCAGCAGTCCTGTAAGAAGAACCATAGTACTGATATCATGCTTAAAATAAGACTAATGAGGTACTTCATTACACGTCACCACATGTCCAATCATCTTTTAGGGTTCCCTGATTGTCTAATAAGGACCTTTAAAAGAAAGTGCGTCGGTTTGGTCAGTGTGATAAATAAACAAGGTCCACGTTATTGTCAGGATGATCACTCCAGCTTGAGTTCTCCTTGATTCTTTTTGGAGACAGGGTTTCACTGTCTATGTAGTCCCCTTTAGCCTCAAGTGAGCCCAGCTGTCTCACCGCTGAGTGCATATCCCCATTCACTATCCTTTCTCTTTCTTGTTTTGCTGTTTATTGTTGAACATACCAGGCTACCTATCCAACAGTTTCAAAATCACTCCTTTTATGAATTTTTGCTAATTATCATATGGAGATTTGATGTGTTCCTGCGACCTCTGCTTTATTATATTATTATTTTATTTTCATTTTTTTTATAAACTAGGAGGGCAGGTTTGGTGTCAGGATTGTTCAGTGATGTGGGCACTGACAGCCTGATCTGTTCATTTCGAGATATCTCATCCTATCTTTATCTGGTGACTTTGTTTTTAGCACCTGTTGCTCATCGCTTGAATCAAGGGTTGCAAAGCTGTGATATCCTGATTCCACCATCCCATCTCCATTTATTAAATCTCATTACAGAGAAGGACATAGTCTCTTTAGCTGTTTGAGTACATTGGGGTATAGTTTATATGCGCAGGGCAGCCTGAAGGGTGAGAACCCGCACTGATGAGTCATTTTTTAGAACAGTAACCTGGTATCCCTGAGCATCCTTCAAATTGTATTTCATGTTCTGGATAAGAAGGTCCTCTCGACTTTGTCCAGGTGGAGCATTCCAAGCGTGCTCCCAAGTCCTGAGTATGTAGCCACCACCATCCTTGAGAGCTTCCTGCTCTGGGCTCTGGACAGGAGTAATGGCCTACTTGGCCCTGTTCTGTCCTGCCCAGCTCTGGCCCTTTCATGGAGGAACTCTGTCAGATAAACACATTGTGGCTTTAATGGAAAAATTTATGTTTTTTATTCTGAGTCTTTTCCCTTTGATGAAAAGCTGTATTCAAGCATTTTTTTTTTGCCCTCTTATTAGTTCTGCATGTTAAAATGGTGTTAAATAGTCTTTTAGCTCTTTTGTTAGAGGCGACAGTTTCTAAAGAATAGACCTTTCCGTCATTCCAGTCTTTATCAGTCAATAACTGTGCATTTTTATGTTTGTTATTTAATATTTATAAGAGAACACTTACAAATTGCCTGGCAAGCACGAGACATCTTGATACCCAGGCGGACCCCTTAGGTATGTCCGTGTGGCCTCTCTAAACCCACACCCTCCTCTTCACACTCACCGCTGACCTAGGTGACATTTTGCTGAACTTTGTGATAGTTATTTGTCGTAATGCTAATTCTTTGGGTTGCTTCTTGGTTTACAGAAATTAGTTTTTGCACGATTTCAACTGTGTGCCAGTGAATCCCACTGTATTTGTTCCTCCTTTGACGTTACACAGATCAGCATTGTGCCTCTGCTCTCCACCCAAGTTGTCATTGTCACGGCTGAGCTCCTAGAGAACAATTCAGGGCTCACTTCTCTACCCCATTGCTCAACTCCAGCCACAGGGGTGGGTTATCCTTCCTCAAAAGCACGCTGTTCTTTTGTTGGTCCATGCCCCTTGCCCAAGTGGTCTGGTAGTCTTTTCTTTAGAGCATCCTGTCTCTCCTTTTTTACTTCGTGTCTTTAGGCTTCAGTGAAACTGGCCTTCTCGATGACCCTCCCTAGACTCTCAGGAAATAAAGGTGCCCCTTAATCTCTCCACCTGCGCATATGCACGCACACACTATTTTTGAGACTCGGATGACAGCTATGTACCCTCCTGTCTATAGACAGCTTTCTTCTTGCAGTAATGGAATGAGCAGAGATCCCTTGATGCTCACCCAAGAACCTGTTCCCTTTTCTATCAGTGGTTCTGGTAACCCCTCTGCCCTATAGATGGACCCATTGGGGGCAATGTCCTCTATTGGTCCAGGGCCCTGTATAGAGGTTAATCCACAAATACTTGGCTGTCATTCATGTCTATTGAGTGAGGAAAATACTTTTATTTTTTTGTGTGATGGCAACTCAACAGGAATGGTAAATTGTAAAACTACTTGTGCTACACTTTGGAGCAGGACAAAAAGCAGTGGAGATGCGTGCTGCCTTCTCTCTCTCTCTCTCTCTCTCTCTCATCATTCTCATCTGCTCTTTTTATCCTAGGATGAAGCTGTTAAACCAGATGTCACGAGTCTGGAAAACAGATGGCCTATCAAGTTGTTCTTACAGATTACTCTCTGTGGAACACAATCCTTTATATATCAACGTCACAGTGGACTTCTGGACTGGTGTGTGACCTGGATCTTTGGATGGGGTTCAGGAGAAGTGATGACTTGTCATAATTATGGCCTAGAGACTTCCATAGTAGCGCACACTAAGGACTCACTCCAGATAATTATTAGGCCGGATTTTTCCATTTTGTGTTTTCTCGGCCGTGCTCTTGGTCATGGGGAATGTAGAGCCGTCATAAAGAGACAGCTTTCCTAGTTGTTCTGATCCCAGCAATGAGGTGTAATGCACAGACTGGATGGACTAAAGATAAAAGGATGCAATGAAGGCTACCTGGGAGCCGTGTCCTCGAAGGATCGACTCCAGCAAAGCATCAGGGGATTAAAGAGTGGGGAACAAAATCCCCGTGTGTCCTAGAGAGCCAGAACTGCTAGGCCCGAGATAGAAAGGTACTAAGATGTGTTTCTGTCACGCGTGTATCCTATGTGGCCATCTGAGAAGCGGTGGATTCCGGATGAGAAGAAGGCCGTAGAGGAGCGGAACAAAGTCAGGAATCAGACCCCACGAACCCAGCAATGAAGAGGTGACGAAGGGGGAGTGTGGCGTGAACTGGCAGCAGTGACTGCTGCCCCCAGTCCTCCGTGCTGTTCGCTTCCTCATCGGAAACACCTTCCAGCCTGTGGCCACCCGACCTTGAATGTACCAGTCTCTTCAGAGGCACTTGCCAGCAAGAGCCCACCAGAGAACACTCTCTCCTAGTTTTTAAAGCATTTTTTATAAAATGATTTTGTACACATAGGATATGAATGAACAGTTTATAAGCTAGAGTACCTCTGTAGTAAAAGATGAAAATGCTTCTGGCTCTTGGTCTTGTTTTTTACTGTTCGTATAGACCAAAGGTTTGTTCAGTTCAGCACTTCTGATTTTAAACATCTTAAGAACCAAACAGCGGACTGGAGATATCTCAGCAGTTAAGAGCATGTACTGCTCTTGCAGAGGACTTGAATTTGGCTCCCAGCACTCCCTTGAGGGGGGACTTACAACTGCCAGCTCCAGGGGACCCTATGCCTCTGGCCTCCACAGCCAACTGTAGCAAGCCACGCCTCAGTCTTAGTCTCGGGCCTCTCTGAATTCTTACGGTTTTTATTCTTCTGTGTTTCCTTCCCACAGTCAGAAGTGGAAACTGCAGGGCTTTGGGAGTGCTCCTGGCTGGTTAGTGCTAGGGACAGTCCCCCCCCCCCCCATCTGGAGTAATGTTGTGGGTGTGGTGCTGGCGTGGAAACCAGAGCAGTTTGAGAGAAAAGGTCCCAGCAGCCGAGCTTCTCGTAGGGGGCAGGGCAAAGGGGTCAGGGTAATGGAAGGAAGACAGATGAAGCCATTCTGTTTTTTCAGTCAGAAGAGTAGTAATTATTTCATTTGATTAGGTAGATAAGTGGGCAAGTAATTAACACAAATGTTAAGTGTTGTGTGGCTGTGTCCCGGGGCCTCTCAGTCAGTCATCATTACGTGACCCCATCGCCACTAGACTCAGTTGGTAAGTAGAAATAATACCTAATCCTGCCAGACAGGAAGAGGAATCAGGAGGGTTTGGAGTGAACACCAACAAAGGAGGAAGAAGAATTTGAAGGAACTTTTTTGTTTTTAATAAGCTTGGCAGGTTTGCTTAGGGCTAGTCTGGTTTATCAATAACTCTGCATAGGAAGTAAAAACTGCATTTTTTTCTTTGTTTAGCAAAATCAGACTCATGGTTTTCCTGTTTTCGTGCCAAACCTTACAAAGGGAGTTGTATTCTCGGGAGATTTGGTAGTGGGCCATGCTAGTGAGAAAGCTCCTCCCACTCCCTTCTTTCTGCAGAGGCACAGGGTCTCTGAAACTGGTTGGGGAGGGTAACAGGAAATAGTGGTGTGTCAGGGGATTTGAGACTCAGTTTCTTTCTTTCTTTCTTTTTTTTTTTTTTTTTGTTTTGTTTTGTTTTGGTAGATCAGGCTGGCCTCGAACTCACCGAGATCCACCTGCCTCTGCCTCCCTAGTGCTGGGATTAAAGGTGTGCACCCCCCACCCCTGGTGAGACTCAGTTTTTTTTTTTTTTTAAAGAATATAGTGAATGCCATATAGAAACTCCCTGACTTTTGTTGTTGGTCATAGGCAATCTGCATTAACAAAATGTTGGAAACTGTTGAAATACACCTCTGGCCCGTCTTCAGCTAGTTCTTTCAACCAGGGAAATGGACAGGTCAGCTCAATGACTTGTTCCAAAACGTCTTCAGGTGCGAGATAATCTTGTGGGACCCTCATGCCACCCCTGTGCCGTGTGACTCCTGCAGGGAGTCCAAGGCCCACCGCGGGCTGGAGCCCTGGACTACCTACTTGCTAATTGCTGTCATCTGCACCTCCCTGGCTGGCCAAAGGAGCCAGCTCCCAGTTCCTGCGTATGTATTCGGTCACCGTCCATGCCATAGCATCACACATTCTGGATGTTGAAGGTAGATATGCCAGCAACACCAAGGCTGCCAAGAACCATATGAGCGCTAGCTGTTTGGACGTTGACACTCCCCATGGCCATGAGTGGCCCTTGCAAGGTTTAAACTGTTGTTTTAAAAATTACTTGGGCTAGTGCTCATTTTTTATGGTGCTCACAGGTTGTAATGTTTTTATACAATTTCCTGGGATTAGAGGGCTAAGGGAAGGGGTGGAGACCCAGAACAGATGGGTAGTTGCTAGAGATCTCACAGTGGAGCAAAAGCTGGGTCAAGCCCAGACTCAAGTCATCGGACTATAAAACTACTATTCCACATTGTCTTCAGCAGGGCTTCTTTCTTTGGGGGGTAGCTTTCCTGAATCTATATTCTGTTGCAGCTCCTACTGAGATTTGGTATCTTCCGAACCCCCAAAATGACTTTCAAGCATTCACCTGCTCTCCTCCCCTAGGTATTTGGCTCTGAACCACCTCACACTTCCTCCCATACCCCGGGAGGAGAAGTTTCTTGGAGTGGACTCTTGAAGGAGATGAAAGTCATTTTCTGCCAGACTCATATTTTCCACTTTTCCCCAGGTCTGACAGTCCCTGCCCAGAGCCATCGATGTGTGCTATGAGATGGAAAATATTAGGAAAGTCTCAAGTTCTCGCTTGCCAAGAGAGTTTAAACTGTAGCACTTGTATCATTTGCAGTATAGGGAGCACTTAGGTCTTCTGAGAGAGTCAGACAGGTCTCCAAAATGCACTCACATGAGTGGCTCAGAGGTCTCCCCTTCAGGGAGCACACCCGAATAGACAAAGGGTCCGTTTACAATGGCTGAGAATGCTGATGAATCTTCAGCCTTGAGTGTGCATGTGTCTAAGTGTGTAGTTTGGGGGCTTAGAAAGTCAGTGAACGGTAGAACACAAGAGAATGCTTATCCTGTGTAAACTTTCTTTAAGAAAAGACTGTGTATGTATGTGCATGTGAGGGTGTTTAAATGTGTGTGTGTATGTGTGTGTGTACAAATGTGGGTGACAGCAGAGGCCAGAAGAGAGCGGCAGATCCCTTGGAACTGGAAGTACAGTCTGTTGTGAGGCCCTGATCTGAATGCTGAGTCTTCTGTGAGAGCGGCAAGCTCTCCGAGTCGCTGACCCATCTCTCCTCTGTCGTATTTTTGTTTGTTTTATTTTTTTATGGTACCATGCCTCACACATGCTGGGAAATGATGTACAACTGAACCGCACCCTTTGGTTTTTAAAATTTAACTCTCTAGTAACCATGTAGGTGTGTGTGTGTGTGTGTGTGTGTGTGTGTGTGTGTGCACGTGCGCACATGCGTGCAGTGCATGTACCCAGTTGTGCCAGGCATGGGGACCATGGGCTGGAGGAAGAGAGCATCTCCCGTGTTTTCACAATGCTCCCTGTCTCTAAGACAGTGGTTCTCAACCACTACAGGAGTCACAGATCAGATATCCTGCATATCATATCTTTACATTATGATTCATAACAGTAGTAAAATTACAGTTATGAGTTAGCAATGGAAAATTTTATGGTTGCGAATACCACGATCATGAGGGACTGTATTAAAGAGTTGCTACATTAGTAAGGTTAAAGACTACTGGTTAAGACCTTTCTGGCTCTCTTTGTTGGACATGACCACTTGATCCTTCAGATAAACATGCATGAATCCGGACTCAGCTGGTTATCTGGTGGTTGCTGTCTGTTCCCTAGGTTGTCTAGGAGTAGATAAGAAGCCGAGTGAGGCGAAACAGGAAAGAGAAGGGAGATTCCATGGAAAGCAATCCTTTACAGTAAGAAGTCAGGTTAGTGGCTAGTTTCTAACCCCACCCCCAACCACAACACTTCTTGTCAATCAGACAGGTAGGGGAGGGGTTAGATGGGACAGTAGTTTTTCAAGTTTGTAATGCTACCTATGAATAGCTGGAATGCATCTGTTCTGCTGTTCAGACAGAAGCAGATTCTTGATTCTGGTTCTAGGACTTTGAAATGTTAAATTTAATCAGGCTGCCACAGCTTAAGGATGAGGCCAACCGGAGACAGGGTGACTTTCCGGTATTGCACTCAATCAAACTTGCCCCAGAGTTAGCCTGACTGGTTTGGGTTTCAGTGATAATTGGTGGGCAAGCTAATAACTGAGAAAGGAAGGTTTCACAGAAATCGTGTCTGGGTGACTCTCAAGGACAACAGCCTTCCTCCTCCCCACCCTATTTCCAGTTCCAGGAGCTTGAAGAAGAGAAGGAAGCCAGGGGCACGAGGGAAAGAGGAAGGAATGGAAGTGGGATTCTAGGAAGAAATTGCTGGGTGACCTAAAGGGAGTGGTAGCAGTAGTCACAGATCAGGCTTGGGAATGGCAGAACGCTGCAGGGGGAGATGAAGCCTTGTCCCTCTCTATCACTGGTGGTGACTGGGCTCACCATCCTTCCTTGGTTTGTGAAGGAGCAAAGCCTGTTCCTGTGGGTAATGGAACTTCCTTACTGTGCTTTCGAGGCTAAGATCCAGTCACAAAGAGATGAGGGTTTTGTAACAGAAAGCATTTTGAAGCATAAATCTCTGGAAGGGAAGGCAGAAGTTAAGGTTGGGTGGGAACCACTCAGCCAATGGAGCTCAGTGGAAAATCTAGTTAATGGTGGAAAGCAACGGGCACCAGGAGGTAGGGATACAGCTAAGTGGGTCGAGTGCTCAACTAGCAGGCACAGAGTGATGCCTTCTTCAGAAGAGACAAAGCCAGGTGGAAGGTTGGAGGCAAGCTGTGCTGGGGATCAGAGAGCGGGCTTCTGCTACAAGGGAGTCCACTTCTCTTCTCTTGACTGCTCTTCCTCTCCAGTGTTCTGCCTAACCACAGGGATCTGGGGAGGCAGGACCTTCATGCCTAGGCTGACTGTTTCTAAGTGATGGGTGTGTTTTCTGCATAAGGAACACAGTTGAGCTGTTGGCATCACACATTGCTTCCTAGTGGAGCAATAACTTCAAAGGACAATATTGTAGACAAAAGTTTCTGTCCTGCTCAGTTCTGCAGCTGTTCAGTCCCAAATAAACTCACAGAAGCTTATATTAATTATAAACTATTTGGCCTGCTAGCTCAGGCTTATTATTAACTAGCTCTTATAACTTTAATTAACCCATACTTTTTGTCTATGTTTAGCCATATGGCTAAACATAAACATAGTGCAACATTCTCATCCTGTTTTTTCAGTCTGGCTGGTTGACTGCATTTCTCTGCCTTTCCTCTTCCCAGAATTCTCCTAGTATGGTCACCCTGCCTATACTTCCTGCCTGGCTACTGGCCAATCAGTATTTTATTAAACAAATAAATGACAAATATTTACAGTATACTGGAGCATTTTTTCCATAGCACAATGTTGCAAGAGGGAAAAGAAAAAGAAGAGAGAATTCTAGCCATTTCCTGTCCATGTGGACAGTGACAGTGCACAAGTCAGCAGGAACCCACAAGTGTGTGTCTCCCACTTCTTCCACTTTAACCCCCACAGTTGGGGCTCTTTTTTTGGAAACCCCTTTTTGTTAGACTCATGCATTACCAGTTGGAGTCAAAGAAAGTAAGTGTATTTTATGGGCTTCTTAATGGATAGATAAGCAAACAATGGTGAGTTGTCAGGACTTCCTTCAGGACCAAACTATTTTGACAGCGAACAAAAGTCCCTTTCAATCACCTGTTCTAGTAGCTGGCTTGGACTGCCACGTTCAAACCTTTGAGCTGATGTGAAGTGGGGAGTGTCAATGTCCCTAAAGATTACGTACTTCCAATTAACCGAGAATGAAACTGCTAAATGCTTGTCACTCGGCGGGGCAGAAGAGGAAGTCTAAAGGCTTATTAAATGAAAATCAAGGACTGTCCCGGAGGAAAAAAAGTATCCAAAGGTAGCAGGTGTGTCAGGAGAGCCACCAGTGTGGACAGACGTTATCGCCAAACCAGAACAGAGTTCTTCAATCTCCCCTCCTCCCCTTGCCCGGTCTACACAGTGACAAGCGCATCTTGCAAGGCCGAAGAAAATAGTAAGAAATATGGGCTCCCCGTTGCTCGGATTTGCTATTAAATACAGACAGAGCTTGCAGTGGCGGGGGGAGGCTCCTATGAATGTCATGGTGTCCCCACAGTAAACATAAACAGGGATGGAGCTGTCTCACGGTCCATAAATATGTTGTAGAGTGTTAGGCAAGGACGAGAAACATTTCTGTTGAGGATCACAGCAGCCCGAGAGCCTAAAGGGAGCCCATTCCACCGGAGCTGGCATTTGAGTGAGAGACGCATACGTCACTGTGGAGAGCACACAGAGAGCACATGACGAAATAGCAGGTTCCAGCACCACGTCCAGAGTCACCCGAGGAGGGAGGTGTGGCAGAGATACTGTGTGCTTAGAACTCAATTCTGCTCCAGTAGAACATGGTACCCAGGAGGACCCAAAACTAGAATTAAAATGGGAAAAAGGAAAACAAATGATTTAAGACAGGATCTTAATTAACATCAACCTTAATATAAAATGATGGCATTCCTTTTGTGCGGACTTAGGTGACACGGAGTCTCTAGCTGTAATTTAAGGGCCAGCTGCTGCTCTGTCCATCCCATATGAGAGAGCATTGCTTATAAGCGGCCACTCAGAGCCATTTCTCCATTCCCCACATGCCCGCCCACCACTTCCTGTGTAGTCTCTGAGTTCTTAAGTGCTCCCTTGGGAAAATCCTTCCTTCCTGTTATCAAAGCTAAATACTCCAGCGTTCACGTTTCATTAGCAACTATAGATCATCTTTTAAAGTTTTATTTATTTGTTTATTTTTTGAAATGGGGTCTCATGTAGGCTAGGCTAGCCCTGAACTTGCTATATAGCGTAGGATGACCTTGAACTTTTGACCCTTCTGCTTTTCCATTTCCAAGCATCCTTGGTTTATTTGTACTGGGATGGAAATCGGGGTTTGGGGCATGTTGGGAGGTGCTCCCCCAACAGAACTAGATCTCCAGCCATGTGGGTCACGTTCTCCTTCTCATCTTAAAGCCCTTCCTTCTAAAAGTCCTACCACTTTGAATGGCTGCCTCTGTAGAATACCGCAGAACCTAAGCCCTCTCACTCAGGGGTGAAGTTGGAATGTCCAGGCTGCTACCCCTCTGCCGTCTACTCCTTGGGTCCTAGCCAGGCCATTTTGCTTCCTTGAGCCCCAGTCTCTGTAAAATAAACTTCATCCCTTCTCTCTCTCTACCTCAGATCTAGAGCTGTGGGTGAGACAATGGAGTTATAACTGGGCCTGATGTTGATTATGACTTGTGTGCACCAGGCACATCGGCTTCCAAATGTCTCTGAAGGACTCGAAGCACAGCGAAGTAACAAACCCAAAGACACAGAGCCTGACCGGCCTTACAGCCATGCTTCTCAGCCTTCCTACTGCCCAGCCCTTTAGTACAGCCCCTCAGGCTGTGCTGATCCCCAGCCACGAAATTATTTTGTTGCTACTTCATGACTGTATTTTTCTCTGTTATGAATCATAATGTCAATATCTGATATGCAGAATATCTTATATGCGACCTACAAAGGAATCTCTACCCATAGGCTGAGAACTGGAAAGCCCTCTGTGAGCAGAAGTGACCTGGCTATGCCTAGGAGTTCTTCTCACGTGTGGTTCTTTGTCGGGCAGACCAACTGCTGTTGTTGAGGGGGTCTCATATGAAGACTAGTTGGCCTGATGTCTCATCCATAGCAGACCCTCAAAATCTCTAATTCTTATCCCCTGCTACTGATTTTCAGGAAATTGGCAGTATTTATAATTGAGAATTTGATACCTGTGTACAGTTAGTAACCCCATGACCCTTAGACGCCTTATTATGTCCTCTAGTTCCTGGTAGTACAGCACAAACAGACACTTCCCTGTTTTCATTTAAATTGATTCAATAAGCCGGGCCATGGTGGCGCATACCTTTAATCCCAGCACTCAGGAGGCAGAGGCAGGAGGATCTCTGTGAGTTCGAGACCAGCCTGGTCTACAAGAACTAGTTCCAGGACAGGCTCCAAAGCTACAGAGAAACCCTGTCTCGAAAACCCAAATGAAAAAAAAAATAGATTCAATAAATAACTGAGCCTTTACTCTGTTGTGCTAGGGACTGGGGGACAAAGGAGAGCAGCTTCTCTGCCTCGAGCAGCATCAACTATGTCATTGGTGCATTGTCTCACTGCAGAGACCGCCCTCTACAGTGACCATGGAGCACTTCCTGGAGGAACAGCTTTCTCTGTGTCCCTCATTATACACCCTCTCACTCAGCCCTTTCCAAAGCACAGTACACAAACACCCTTGAGGGGCCAGAGAGGCCAAGAATAATTAAGTAAAAGGGCTTCATTTGCCCTTTTGGCATCTTTCCATGGGCACTGGTGGTGCAAAAGCAGAATAAGGTCAGACTACCAAGCCTCAGGGAAAATCCAGGCATAGGCCTTGAATTGCATCAGCTCCCTTTGTATCCTGCAGTGTTATACACACAGGGGAAAGGAGGAAGCAGGAAGTTTATCTGGGACAGTCCTACACGGAGCTGCCAAAGCTATTGATCACACAGTACTTTGACCTTTAATTTACATATCTTTTTAATATTCTACATAATAAGAATGCTCCAAATCCCATGGCATATCTGAGATGTAGGTGTGCAGAAGGAGAGGATTTATGTGATGGGTTATGCACTGACTTAACTTTTTTTTTCCCTTGAAATATTAATCTTATTTGAAAAAAGTCAATAAAAGAAGCTACAGTTATTTAAGCTTGGATATTTGGGCAGATATTTTCTCCAAAGTTTACAGCATTAGTCTTTCTGCAAAGAAAACACTTGACAATGTATGATGCCAATCATGACTTTGAGTTGTCAAACAAACATCAGATCTCTGGAGAATTGCCCTGCTCCCGTGGGTTCGGTAGAATCCTATTTGAGATCTTTTCCAGTGTGGCAATATTAATGAATGTGATCTTCTAGTGTAACATAGAGAAATCAACCGACACCAGCAAGTGCTACGAAACACAGTGAAGCTGCATTTCCCCAAACAGCCCGTTCCTGACGTCATAGGCTTAGGTACAGATCGGAGATTATGCAAATAGTACAGAGAGTTCTTCATTAATCTAGTTTCAGATTCCATACTGCAATTTATCTCGAAGAAGCTCGTAGAGAAGGGCGCATAGTCTCAAAGCAATATTCAGGTTATTCGCCTCCAATAAGATTGCCAGGATATTCCTGTTCTTAACTGCACACTGTTATGAAGGACCTACTTCATTCCAGTCCTTCAGCGCTGGTGAATGTTAGCATAGACGGAATGGAAGAGCACCTGTGACAGGCTCGGCTTCTTTTAGGACCTCGACAGGATTGGAGGAAATTCACGAATTTTTCATTTTGCAAAAGTTATTATTTTTCTATAATTCCTAATTTAGGATTATGTTGTTATATGAACTTGCAATTGGCTTATTATCTTATTTTAAAACAAATTAATAACTATTTAATTTTTTTTCAGTCACTATACTTAGTGGAAGTAAATGTCAGTAGACACTGGTCCCAGAGAAAAATAGCTTTTTTTTTTTTTTTAATTCTTCACATATCTCAAGGTGTTCAATGGTAATCAAACTCTGCGATTCTATCCTGAATGCCATGGTTCTTGGCCGTGACAGAAATTTACAATCATCTAGAAAAAATTACCAGATCAAGACACAAACACAAGCAAAATAAAACAAAGTTCCCAGGCCTAGCCATAGCTTCCACTGAGGAGGCACAGAGGGGTGCACACCAGCTCCGCCTCGTCTAGGAGGTTTCACTGTGCAGTCAGGGCTGCGAGCCAGAGCTCTGACCACACTCTGACCTCACAGAGAGGCAGCAGGAAGTGATCAGGGTGTTGAAAGAGCTAGACAGCTGAGGTTGGGCCTCAGGAGCGGTCCAGAGAGGTGACAGAAGGGGCCTTGACGTCTAGTTGTGGTGAGTTACACAGAGTGGAGCACGGCTGGAGCTCACTAAGAAGCCTAGCTGAGTTCATCTGGGGCAGCCAGAGGAAGGGTTTACACAGTAGGCACATCCTATCCCTAGGAGGGAGGTTGACATCCCACACCTTAAGGGACCCCATTGTCCTTGGTCTGGTGCTCGAAGTCTCCCGACTACCTTAGCAGCAAGACTTGGCTTCCAGACTTTTTAGGTTAGTTGATATAACCAGGAATCATCTCAAGGTCTCTCATTATTGCCCCTTTCTGAAATATATATTTAAAAAAATGTGCTGAGGATACTCACAGTCCAGCAGAGGATGGCAAACCCAAACCAGGCAACTCCCCAGGCATGCCGGTCCAGTGGTCCAGAGATCAGGTCATAGCAGCCCTGGGAAGATGGCATGAGCTACGTTAATGTGGGGAGCCTAGAGCAGAGATAAGAACCGATGCTGTCAGATTAACAGCTGACAACGATCTGAGTAGCCATCTGGGGACTTTACCATAACCTTAGGGATCACAGGGATCATGCAGGAAATTATTCCAGGCAGATTCCATGCCCCAAAAGGTCCAGAGGCAAGTGTGCCAGATTTTTCTGCAAATTTCAGCAACTATTCTAGGTTGGCCATGAGGTTTAGGCCACAGCCAGCTGTAGTGATATTTCTTTTTTTCTTTTCTCTTTCTTTCCTTTCCTTTCTTTCTTTCTTTCTTTCTTTCTTTCTTTCTTTCTTTTTTTATTTATTTTTTAAATAAAGCTTGCCTGAAGAACAGAGAGTCAAACAGCCCCACTGGTCAGCCTTACATACCAGGCCATGGTGACACGCACCTTTAATCCCAGTAGCCACACTAGTTTGCCATAGAAACCGGTGGTAGTAATGCATGCTTTTAACACTAGCCCTAGGGAGGGATAGGGAGGGATGTAAGACAGGAGGAGACAGCTTTCACACACAGTCTCATTCTGAGATTCCAGGAGGCAGGATCGCCATTTCGGACCTAGGTCGAGGTAAGAGCCAGTGGCTGGCTGCTTTGCTTTTCTGACTTTCAGGTTGAACCCCAGTATCTATCTCTGGGTTTTTATGAATCATGTTCTACCCAGCAGCTACAACTGTGCACTTCATGTTCCGTGTTCCATGACTCAGCATCCCCCTTCCTTAAGCCACACGCATGCTGTTTTCTACCCTGATGCTTCAATAGTTCTCTCCTGACTTCACTACATTTCAGGATGCCCAATAAAACCTCCTGGAATTTTCCTTAATTTCTTACTCCAATATTTAACCTTAAGCAAATCCTTTAGGGTCTATTTAAAAGTATCACAAATGCAAGCACTCCTGAGTCTTTTCCCTTGTACTGCTCTGGCCCCTCCAGGGCCTCACTTGAGGGCTAAGTCCCCTCCAAGAAGAGCATGCATGGGCGTCCTCCTGTGGTACTGAGTCAGCTCATCAGAGGCCAGGGCCTAGCGCATCTGAGCCCACTCACTAGATCGAGGTTTACCCATCCCTTCTAGACATCTCACAACCGTTCTGGCCTTGTAAGGCTTGTCTTCTTGATGCCCTTCCAAGGTGCTAAGAATGCTCCAGGATTTGCATGGGCTGAGAAGTGTTCCCTTAACACTTCAGCTCCCCCTCTCCTCACAGAACTCAGGGCTCTGAGATGTCATCTCAACAAAGGCTTTCTGGACAGCCACAGAGAGAGCGGCTTTCTTCACCATGTTCCATTTACCGATACTGCTTTATGTCTGCTTCGGACACCCCACAGCCAGGAACCTGCGCGCTTGTGTACAGTGTGTTCCTTATTTGTTGTCTATAACAGATTGCAGCCGCCAAAAAGGCAGAGGGTTTATCGTGTTAATTGTTGCCTTCGAGAACCTAGAATGAGTGCCTAGTATCTAGCAGGTACCTAATAATAATTTACAGAACGAGAGTTTGTAATCCCAGCAGCATTCAGGAAGTTTAGGCAAGAGGATTATAAATTCAAGGTCAGCCTGAGCTACAGAATGCCGACCTATCTTAAATGAATGAATGAATGAATGAATGAATGAACAAAAGGACAAACAAGAAACAGACTTAATGAAAGGATATTAAGTAATGATCACAGTCTCCACTTAGAAAACACAGAACACTCTCACTCTCTTGAAAAGCTTGGGAGGTAATCATTAATCTAATATTATATATAAAAGCCAGTTTACACCAGGTCCTGGGACCTGAGTTGGGCACTTAGCTGGAGCAAGACAGAAAGGACTCTTGTCTTTGTGGAATTCACAGTCAAAATCCACAATTTTTCATCTCATTAGTGAGTTTTCAGGAGGCTAATTATTTTATTGGGACTGTACTCTCTTAGTATGTTTTAATATTCTTGAGGTAAAGTCATCAAGATTTGCATGTAGCATTTTCAAGGCTGAAGAAGCCTAAGTGTGTGTGTGTGTGTGTGTGTGTGTGTGTGTGCCTGTGTGTGTATGTATTTGACCTGCTTTGTGTAATTCTGGTTGATTTCCCTCATTATTATACTTAGGCTAACTTTCCTAATTCTGTTAGTGTTTATGGCTACAGCAACACCTTGGTGCATTGCAAATGTTGCAAAGCTTCAGGATGGTCATGAAAGGGGAGCCGTCTACTCCTTCACTCACTTCTGCACCCACCATACATTTCTTGAGTGTCTGCCTTGTGCCAAGCATTATGCCAAGTGCTGAAAATATAGAACTAAGCAATACAGCTCTTGAGGCAGCTCACAGAAATCTGTGGACAAGGTAAATGCAAAAACAACAGCAAATGATAGTAGATTTTGGGTGGATTGTTTCCGTGTATAGCAAAGGATTGTTGGAGCGGAATTAGCAGCACCTGTATGTCATAAAGTGGGGATATGTGGGAATCTGGGGGACCAAGATAGGGAGAGTCAGACCGATAGGTCTGCTTGTGGTCAGGGCGAAGAATGAGTGAGACGGAGGAAGTAGAGACAAAAGGGAAAAGGAATAGAGGAAGAAATGTCAGAGCCTGGGAACTTGGTTGAGGAGTGGGGCGAAGTGGCGATGGTTTAGCGTGTGGTTCAGCTGACTGGAGTGGAGACAGAGACACTGAAGGCAGACAAGGCCAAAGGAAGGTGTCAAGATGGGTCTGGAGGTCCCAAAACAGTCAAAAGAAAAAGAGTTAATTTGTGTTTCCCCTTCAGACTGGCCTCTTTAAGCTTGAGTAAGTGGTTTTCGTTGATTTCCATCGCTGGAGTGCTATGTATTATAGTGGGAAGACAAGGCTATGCTCTAACGGGAAGGTAGATGCCCCTTTGTCCCTTTCAGAGAGAGGACACTGCTTGTACGTGACTGTAATTCAGCAAAGGCTGGTTTGCATGAGCCACCTCTAACGTGGACATGCTGAAAACATTTTATGAGTGGTTTGGGTGATAGCTGTATTTTATGCTGATTTTAAGCAATAAATTTAATTTTTATTATAGCCCAAATATAAGTGGCTAATACAATGCTCTGAAGCCCAGTGAGGGTTGCTATGGACACCGCCACGAAGTCATCTGCATCACTCCCCTGTCCTTTGTGAATGGATGCATCCAGTCCAGGCACTTTGCCAGGCGGCTCTCACTCCAAACGTCTGGTTTGTGGCATTTACTTCTGTGCGGAAAAGCCTGATGCTTCTGAATTATTTGACAGATTGACCTACTTGCTGCGCTTCCTCACAGTGACCGCTGCCAAAGCAGGGCAGAGGGCTTCAGTGTGCTGTGTCAGCAGATGTTGGGTACAGGGTCTGAGAGCGCTCAACAAGACTTTGGGGGACTATTTCCAAGCCTTTACTGATTCGGCATCTGTGCTTTCAAGCTACATGGCTTGCAGTTGAAGTTACTAACTGTGTAAGCACTGGCAAGGTCCGATTGGCATCTCTAGCTCCATTCCTCCTGTGTAGACTACAGAGCACAGCCAGCACCAACTCTTGAGCACCCCAGTCACCTTAGTCTGTGTGTGGCACATGACACATCAGGCATTCAGGAAGATGTCGGTAAGGGTTTCGTGATTGTCGTCAGGTCACTTTTGCCAGCGCAGACGCACTTTGATAAGACTCATACGCATATAAAACATCTTCCGCCCAAATCACCAATCTAATCCCGCTGAACACCCCCCTTTCATCACCTCTGACGAGTTGCTGTTGTTTTGGAACTGAATAATATTCTTTTTGTATATCATTCTTTCTAATCTCCATTTTGCAAGCCTCTGTCTAATACAAACATTTCTCAAGAAACCTGGTTGCAAACATTACACAGGTTGTCTTTATTGACACCAAGTTGGTTTGTGCTACGGAAATCCTCATGTCGCAGTAATTTTAGTAAATTAAAAATTGCAACAATTCTAAATGAGCACTCACAGAGAAGAAAACATAATGCGAGGTATAGGGGAAGCAGGTAGACTTCCATGCGGACAGTACCCACTGCTGACTGTTATTCTCCTCACGAGGAGCAGAAGCACTTCCTGCCAGGTCTTCGGGAGGGGAGGGGACTCACCTGACGGTGGTAGTAACCGAGCACCCCGAGTTTGCAAGCATCCAGGTTGAGAGGCTGTTTAAGTGTGTTCAGGACACAGCACTGCCGGGGCCAAGGGTAGTCGGCATCGCTATTGTCCACCCGGAAGGCGGAGGTGTATTTCTGCCAGTCTGATGGGCCGTTTACACCACAGCAGTGATCCTGCCAGCCGAGGAGAGACACCACGTTATCTATGGCCCATACTAAAGCTGTCAGTGTCATAACCAAGGCTTTGTGGAGAAAGTACTAGAAGCATACCATATCTTACATTACTAAAATATCTCCAAACTGGAGCTCACGGTTGTCCTTGGTTTCCAAAAATGTTTTTGTGCTTATTAATTTAACAGTCATGAATGGGAATAACACTGTAGGTCTCTAAGGCAGTGGTTCCCAAACTGTGGGTCGCGACCCCTTGAAAGTGGACCAGCTCTTTCACAGGAGCTGCATATTAGATATCTTGCTTAGCAGTAGCAAAATTACAGTTATAATAGAGCAATAAAATCATCTTCTGGTTTGGAGTCACCACTACATGAGGAACTGTAAAAATGAGCTGCAGCCTTAGGAAGGTTGAGAACCACTGCTCTAAGGCTTGTTCCATTTGACTATAGATTAGAAATGAATATAGGACCTACCTTATAGAATTTTTGTGAGGATCAAGTGTGTTAATATAATTAATGTACTTGGTATAGCACCTAGGTCATAGTAAACTCTTACTAGGCATTTATTATTATTAATACTTAAAGCAAGATACATTAACATGAGAGTATTATCATTTAAAAATCATAAAATGAGAAGTTTTAGTAGTAAACAAATTATTAGCAATTATTCTTGTTTTCCTTTTCTGTGTTTGTAATATTTTCCTAGAGCAATTATGCATTAGTTTTATCTATCATCTATCTATCTATCTATCTATCTATCTATCTATCTATCTATCTATCTACCTACCTACCTATCTATCTATCATCTATCTATCTATCTATCTATCATTTATTTATTTATTTCAGTTTTTTCCAGTTTTTTTTTGTTTGTTTGTTTTGAGACAGGGTTTCTCTCTGTAGCCTTGACTGTCCTGGAACTCACTTTGTAGACCAGGCTGGCCTCGAACTCACAGAAATCTGCCTACTTCTGCATCCTGAATGTTGTGATTAAAGGCATGCGCCACCACCTCATTTTATAAGAGGGAAAGTAAACTGAAAAACCATTTCTGACCTGGTGGCACACATCTGTCCCTCTACATAGGAGAAGGGGCCGATGGACACCTCTGATGCCCTGAGAACTCTGCACACACTGAAGAGAGGCTGTGGAGTCCACATCGCCTCCTTTCCTTATCATTAATTCTGCTAAAATGTTTCAGTGAGGAAGGAAAAATTACAGGCCTCCCCAAAGTTTTAGAATAAATACAGCCAAGCAAATCTAAGGGCAAAGATCATCTCGAAATAATGTGCACTTAGATATAGGAAATAGCTAACCAGAAAAAGGTCATTCTGTGGTGTGTGTGTGTGTGTGTTGTGGTGTGTGTGTATGTGTTGTGGTGCGTGTGTGTGGTGTGTGTTGTGGTGTGTATGTATGTGTGATGTGTGTGTGTTGTGGTGTGTGTATGTTGTGGGGTGTGTGTGTTGTGGTGTATGTGTGTAGTGTTGTGGTGTGTTTGTTGTGGGATGTGTGTGTTGTGGTGTGTTTGTTGTGGGGTGTGTGTGTTGTGGTATGTATGCATTCTAGGGGAATTGAGTTATGTTTGAACGGGTTTATTTTAGGTGAGGATCTAAGTATAGATAGAAAGAGTTAAGGCTCTGGAACTGAGCTTTGATCCACTTTAACCCTGAGCTGGGAAAGGGGTGAAAGTCCAACAAAGGAGACTCGGAAGGGGTCTTGAAGGTGACTAATGTAAAAGTAAGGAACTGGTAACTGTCATAGAGTCGTGTGAGCGGAGCGCCGGGGCTAAAAGCCGCTGGAAAGGGGGACAATGAGAGCGTCCGGTCTGCGGCGCTCTTCTGAGATTTGCCATGAAATCCAACAGTAGTGGAGCAGAATAATGGGCGAGCAGTGGGCAAGAGTGTTCTCGAAGGCTGATGTTAGAGAGAAGCTGGTGAGTCAGAGCCGAGTAGGCTGCAGAAAAGGAGAGGAACCCGGAATGGAGTCCTCGGTCACTGTGGCAGTCCGTCTGTCACTAGTGAAGAGGCTTAGCTGAAGATCAAAGTGGACAGGCGAACTGGCTGGTAGAGAGGTACCCAGATGCCATCTGCTTGCATCTATATTCTTAAGGCATGGGGTGCAGTCATTACTGAGGCTGAGCGTGAGAGGAATTTGGCAGAGGCGTGAAAAGGGAAATCTATGTAATGGTGATAAAGCCGGTTAAAAAAAAAAAAACAGGAGACAGAGAATGCTCATTTGAGCTTTACAGCCATACATTCAAACCAGCACAACCGGGGGCTTTCCTCCTGGGTTGGGGGTTGGACAGAAACTGTATTTGCTTCCCTAGGGACTGGGTAGGAAAGATTGATGAAAACAGACTCACAGCAGAGTGAAGGAGATAAGAGAGAGCGATGGCAAGAAGAGAGAGCATGGAAGGGTGATTAGACAAATCAACGAAGTCTAATGGAATAAAATGACGAAGTGAGGATAGTAGAGCAAATGGAAGAAATTATAGAAGGTTGTCAGAAAGTGGGTGCCCAGTCATTGTGGGGACATGCTGGCTGGTGGCACAGTAATTGGGATGACATGTTGGCTGTGGCCATGGAAGACGATGGCTGAGAAGGGGGGTGGGGATCTGTGGGATGCAGGAAGACAAGGCATGGAGACGGCAGATGCTGTCGAAGTCCCCATCTGGTTTCTGAAACCTCGTCCAAGGCAGGATGCTGATAGTATGGGGGAAGAGGGTGCAGTTGGTGACACTGAAGGTGTTTGTCAAATAACTACAATAAAGAGACCACAGGCCGCTGGCATGAACCTCAAATTTTTGAACAAGGAGGGAATCAAGAATATAGAAGCCAGGCAGAGGAGGAGGAAACCTATCCACTTTCTAAGTCTTAGGGCACATGAAGGTAAGAGCCCAGGCAGGGGACACTAGGCGGCAACCTGGTTTCTAGTGAAGCAGATGTGTCAAGAGAGCTTCGAAAGTAGACCAGATAAAAAGGTTGGTTATGTGTGTGAGTGGCTGTATGTATGTGAGAATGTGTGTGTGTGAGAGAGAGTTGTGTGTGCGTGTGTATATGCGTGTGTCGGGACCAATGAAGAGTTGGCTCACATTTATAGGTTACACACAAAAGACAAAATGGGACAATATTCTCGAAGACTTGGGGTTCTGATGGTATTTGGAATAAGTTTGGATATATGGAATGGTGGCCACTTAAAGATGGGTGATTAATATCTCCTGGTACTTAGCAGAGTTTTTCATAGGCGATATAAAAAGATGAGATGGGCATATCACTATTTGAGTTTGCTTTAGGGGTGAGAAGACCCCTTCTCTGTTAACTTAAGGAAGACTTAACACTGTAAAAGGCAGAGCCTATTATTAATCTAAAGATTTTAACATACACTCTATAGAGGCAGGCTAATCAGCAGTATAGCTTGACATAAAGAGTGGGTCCAGAGGCCTCACTGAGTCACGTGTTTGACATTCCCCCTTCCTCACCAGTACACAAGAGGCCTTGCTGGCCAGGCTAGGGAGGGAAGGCCCTGGAGGCACTGACCCACTCCCACCCACCTTCACGTTCTTTCTGGTTCAGATGTGCAGCAGATCACCACAGAGCCACACAGCCTACCTGGAGCATGAGCCTGTCCCAGGTCTTGGTCACGCCGTCGTTTTTCCATTTGTCATCATTGGTTGGGGGGCTGTTGTTCTGATACCTCACCAGCATCTGCTTCAGGAAGAGGTTGGGTGTGAACTGCAGGGGCAGGGATGACACAAGAGAGAGCGTCAGCACGCCTGCTCCCGTGAAAGGCAACGTCTTCTGCAGGGCTGGAGGGACGCTAAACTCGGACACAGGCACATTTGGCTGGGGCTGCTTTGGGTCTTTATAGAAGAAGGAATCACCGTATGGCTGTATGTAGACAGGTGTTTTAAGATGGTATAGATTAGAGGATTTGTGAGAAATGGAACACGAAGGATTCTGAATTCTCCCCCAAGGCAGAACATACAGGAAGGCCATGGCATGGCCGAGTGACGGATGACCAATGCTGGGATCACAGGCTGGGCACTGGGAGCCAAGCTTCCTGGGGGCAGAAATCTTGCTGTCACTTGTCACTTGTGCATCTTTAGATAACTGTCTTTGCGCTCTCTCTCTCTCTCTCTCTCTCTCTCTCTCTCTCTCTCTCTCTCTCTCTCTCAACCTCCCCTCTCTTTTAACTTAGAAATGACAATCAATACTCCCATTCTAGGGCTCTGAGTATTAAACTCATTAGTATTAGCATGTGCGTATTAGGACGACCAGCACACAGCCAGGGCTTAAAGCATGTCAGTTGCTATAGGGTCAGTGCTAATGTCATTTCTGTTCTGTGCTTTGGGGACCATACTCACAAAGTCTCGCTGTGTCGCTGCTGTGATACAAGATGCCACTTCGAAACCATACACTATGAACATCATAATGAAGTACTGGGAAGGAGCCAGACGAGAACAGAGAGTTAGAATGGGAATCTCACCACGTGACTGCATATTCATCTAAATCTAATATCCAAGCATGACGCCAACGCTCTTGGACCAGCTGCTTGGAAAGGGGCTAGTGGTAGGTCCTTGGCAGGTGGGTCTTCTCAGTTCTCTGCTTCTCTCTAGAGAAATGACCATTCAGAGCTTTCCCATCCGGCATCATGAATTTCTATTTTAACATGGGGAGTTAATATAAGCAGCGAAGGGATGGGTGGGTGTTTCAGAGTCTTCGTGTACACACAAATGCCCAGCGTTGTGAATCCCTTCTTAGCGGGAGTCATTTTCTTCACGGACTACAGACGCCGGGAAAAGATGACAGAACACATTCAATGCCTTGTGTCTTTCCCACCCAGGCTCCTCGGTAACGCGCAGGCAGCCTTCCAGCGTGGAGACTCATGGGTGAGCTCCTGTCACAAACCCACGTCCTAGTGAAGGCAGAGCAGAGCTCTCTGGGGGCTGCTTACGCTGTGCTAAAGAGTGCAGGCCACAAGGCACTGTGGGAAAGAAAACAGCTCTGCGCAGCCCCGCCGCCAGGGTCTGGCTGGGGAAGACCTGAACTGCAGACGCTTTACAATGTGTATTGAGAACTTTATCTCTGCCTCGCACACTATTATATATGCGTGTTTGCCCTTATGGGAGCCAGTGGCGGAAGACAGGGGACATTGTCTTCCCTTTTGGGGGGTGTTTGTGGGTTCAAAGGTCAGGACTGTTTGTTGCTTTTACTATCTGGCTCTAAAACAAAATAAAACAGAACAAATACAACCACCCCACTGAAAAAATTAGTAAAGGGCCTTCTGGGACACCAGAGGACCCCCCCCCCATAACCCTCTTCATATTGGCTGTTGTCTTGCTTCTGCCAAGAGCTTTGGTGGCTTACAGAACCTCAGGACCCTCTACAATTAGTCCAGAAAGGAGGCATTGATACACGCATTTCCCCTTCAGCTTCACAGAGAGGGGTCCGTTCCTTGCCCCCACCACCCAGCTCAGTTCTCTTGCACATATGACTGGCCAAGAAGGAGCCCAGGGTGCCGTGGAAATTGTCTTCAAGAAGATCTCCCTCTTCTCTCTGGAGCTCCATGCCTCCTCCCGCTCTCTCAGAGTGGGTAGTTTGCCCTGGAACTAACAGACCCAGAGGAAACAGAGAAGGGAAATATTCTGCACTTCCAGGCACTAGGGCGATCATTACCATAGAGGAGTGAGCCAAGCAGCTCCCTAAATGGTTGAGCTTCTTCTATAGAAGTGGAACTCAGGGGAGGAGATTGACTTCAGGGCTAGGGAGGGGTTGTGTGGGTGAGTGTGTATGTACATGTGATCACGGTGGCATAAACTGATGTCTTGGGGCACAGGAACGGAAGGCAGAGGTCTAGGCTCACGTAAGAGTTTCTTCCCCACTGGTTAACGTTCATTTCCATTTGCAAAGGCAGAGCGTGATCTAGTCAGAGGAGTGTGAAGGGGTCGCTCATAACGGTGCCGTTCAGGGTCCTCTGGGGTCCCTGTACTGCAGAGTCAGTGACAGTGTGGGCTGTGCAGGCCATCACACCGAAACCATCTGCCCTGAACTCAAAAGTCTCCAGAGAGGTTCTTGTCCGCTTTGAAAAATTCACGCCTACTTCGTGGTTTGTATCTCAACACACCTCTATCTGACCGATAGTAAAACAACACTTAAAATGAGCTACCGTCAGGGGGAAAACAAAATCTAACAAAGAAGCCCCCACGCCCGGGATTTTTCTCCTGTTTGTGTCCTTCCTGGCTGTGAATGTTGTGCAGACGGTAGCTGGAGAAGAGCGAGTCTGTGCACAGTCAGCTGGATCACCCACAGCTGCTGTCTCCGTTTGCAGTGCTTTTTACTAGAATCCGAACTTGCAGTTATGGAGGACATCTTTGCCTCCTGCACGGAAGATCTTGCAGCAGGGAATCTCCATGTTTTTGGTTTTTTTTTTTTTTTCATTTAGTGAAAACCAAAGCTCTGTGCTCAGCGGAGAAGAAACAGTTCATCGAGGGCTTTGGGCTTACTGTGCCATCAAGGATCACCTTGAATTTCGGATCATCCTGCATCTGCCTACAGAATGCTAGGATTGTAGCTGTGCAGTGCCGCACCCAAATAATACGGTGCTAAGGTTTGAACCCAAGACTTTATGTGTGATAGGCAGGCATTCAACCAACTGAGCTACACCTCCAGCTCGCAGAGTGCTGTGAGGTCTTACCGCCAAGAGCATTTTCCTGTTGGACTTCATAATTCCTACAATGGCGAGAACAGACAGGCAGAAGAGGCAGATGCCCACAAACATGCCAATCCAAGCTGCCCCGTAGATGTCATCGTTGTTGGTGGCTTCAAGCAGCGGGTAGAGACTGTGTTGGTCAGATACAAAGAAGATGCATTCTGCAGTTAGGGCGATGCCACACATCTGGAAACAAGTCATGAGAGGATCTGTCAGGTGACCGAGAGCAGGGCACTGGGAAGGGGATCGGGCAGGGTACGTCCTAGAGCCAAGTCCCTTCCTTTACAGGGGCTTTATGCAATGGATTCCTCATTGCCAGGAGACCCAACAGCTATTTGTACCTTGCTTCCTTTTCATATGCCCTCCGTCTTTGATGCTTTCTTCCACATTTCACTCTGTCTGCTTATGATTTGGGAAGAGGTTTAGGTAGTCTCAGACCATCCATGAAGCCCCTGTGATATGACAGTGTCTTCCTGTATGAAAGTTATTTCCCTATCCTGTCCCAGTGCAATTCTTCCTTGCTTTCAATACTTGAAATGTCCTGGCCTTTGCCACAGTGGTTCTGGAAGCTTAGCAACTTTTTCCCTAGTGCTCATATTCTATGGTTGACAAATTAAGGTCCTGAGTGATGGCGGCTCATCCGCAGCTATACACAGGGAAGTAGAGACAGAACAGAGTCAAGGATTAGCTCTCTCGACTCCTTGATTAGTGTTCTTCCCTACTCCTCGTGTCCACGCTGTTTGGGTTTTGAGCACTATTACACTCTATACAGAAAAACATCTGTCCCAGCATCTTCAAAAGCACAGTCTCCAAGTCAGGCCAAGGTGAAACTGGACAGAAGCATAAAAAGATGCTTCGCAGGTGTGTTTAGCAGGTGTGCCTAGCAGGTGTGCTTAGCAGGTGTGTTTGGATACTGGCCATGGTGAACATGACTCAGTATTCATTATGTCTTAGAACTGGAAAGGAAATAGCTATTTTAAACCCGGTCGTGGTGTTCTGTCATAATAGGTCAGTTATATACAGCTACCGTAAGATTCTAGCTAGTGTGTTTCCCTCCACATTTCTTAAGATGAAGGCACTATGAAGGGAGAGGCAATCACACCATTTTCTTAAACTTTCACTTTTAAGTTATCTAAAAACCATGCATACAAGAAGAACACTTTTTTTTTTGAAAAACATTCATGACTTACACTGACAATCACGTGTCCAAAGATCAGCAGACCCTGGAAGCAACGGACAGTAGAATCATCCTTGGCCATCTTCAGGATTTCCCACAGGCTGGAGACACAGTTAAAAATGTTAGAATTTGGCCGGAGCAGGTAGCAAATACTGCTTTAATTTCTACACTGTCATCAAATCATGACATCACCTGTTTCCTTTTCGTTATCCAAATCAAGGTCATGAGAGCGTTTAGTAACGGTGGAAATCTGATATCCTAGGTCAGCAATCACACGAGGTTTATGAAGATAAAAAATGCTCTCTCTCTATCTATCTATCCTATCTATCTATCTATCTATCTATCTATCTATCTATCTATCTATCTATCTATATCTCAGAGTCTGACCAGTGCCTTTCAGGTGTGAATGGCACCAGAGTCTCATTCTGAGAGGGGTAATGAGAGTCTTCAAGGTCACCAGGGCACAAAGAGAAGACCTGTCTTGGTGATGACACACACTGAGAGTCCCTGGTATTGGCTCTGCCATCCTTGGACAAGGCCAAATTCAACCACAAGTAAACAAAGAGAGTTGGCTGAGGTCCCTACGGCCTGTGGGTTGATGTTAAATATTTTCTTATCCTAAAAAAACACAGGTTGTACATAATGAAGCTTCCTGTAATGCAAGAGACGTTCAGGGAAGAGGAACGTTTAGCTCCATTGGGCACTCCTCTAGCGACTTCTCCTGCCTATCAGAGTCCCAGAACCCAGCTAGATGTGAGCGAGGAGGAGGTTCTTCTGCACACCAGGAAATCAAAGCCTAACCAACTGGTAAAGTGGTACCTCCGAGGCCACACAGGCCAGCGATGGCAGAGTCGGTGGCATCTTTGGTCTATGTGACTCAGAGGCCCACACTCTTCCCTGCTGCTTGCACTAGCTCCTAGAAACTATTTATACTATTTATGCCAGATGGAGCTAAACATGGAGCTCATGTCTCCTTGAGGATTCTCTGAAAGGAACGCAAGGTTAAGTGTTCGGGTCAATCATTTTGGCTTCTGCACTTGAGATGCTTTGAGAAAAGCTGTTCGCATGCCTCAACACTTTAACCAATTGACACTCCAAATCTAAAGGTATTAAATGATACAGTTTGCATGTTGGGGCATGTAAAGATGCATGAACAAGGTTCTTACATTCTAAGGTTTTGTTCTGGGAGAGAAACTAAGTTCTCAAGTAGTTATAATATGTAAATGGATGAATAAATACATGAGTGGGGTCTGGGCGTGAAAGACTCCAACCTAGCTGATTACAGAGCCAGCATTTGGATCAGGAGAGGAGAGAGAAGCAGGATGTATAGGAGGAGAGTGAGACGGGCTGTAGACATTCCAAGGATAGGGAAAGTCAGGGAGTAGATTCAGAAGAGCAAAGTGAGGACCAGAGAGCAAGCTTGCCAGTTTGGCTGAACTCCCCGTTTGTTGTGAACAGGATCTGTGGGGAGGCGCATCTCGCTTTTGTTGCTTTGTGTCTCCCCTCCCTGCCTTTCTTTTTAGAATCATGTGTTTTTGTGTGTCTGCATGACACACACGTATGTGGATGCCTGTGTATACCAGAGGCTTCGGATCCCCTGGAGCTGGAGTTACAGGCTGTTGTGAGTCACCTGATATGGGTGCCGGGAACAATTTGTGCTCTTAACTGCTGGACCATCTCCTTTAGCACAAGTCTTTTATTTGACTCTGGCCTTGGTAAATCTTGCACTATAGGCATGTATTAATAGCCTAAGTAATTTAAACATCCCTAGTTCGTTTGTTCGTTCGTTCGTTCCTTCCTTCCTTTCTTTCTTCCTTCCTTTCTTTCCCTTGAGGGCTGTGAAAATTGAAAATTTAAGGAGTTAAAAATTTATGAATGTTTTTAGCTCCGGGTTTGGCATACACACTCAATCATTGTTCGTCAAAGAAACAGAAGAATCTGGGCCCTTGTTACACCATCTTCTGACCCCACCCAACCTCTGGAGTTTCTTTTTAGAAAGGCTATCTGTTCAGGGAGGGGAGCAGAGAAAAGTGTAGAGCTCAATAAAAAAATCAATAAAAAAGAAATGCCTTCTATTTATTTGGAGTAATTGTTCCACATCGTAAGGGTAAAGCCTTGCAGTGTCTAGAGGGCTCCACCAGGAAGAATCTAACTGGTACAGCCGGATTAGCTACATTGTAAAACTCATTATTGGCATGCACGGATATTAACCCTGACCAGTTAGGCTGCTCTCTAAACTAGACACACAAATAAATGGACTTTGAAAGATAGAAATTCAAATAGAAACAGAGAGTAAAAGGACAAATATCTGGAGAGGCCAAGTCCAATATCGTCCCTGCCCGGCAGGGTACCCGAGTCGGTTAAATCACCTTTTTTGCTCTGTTTGGTTATAAAGAAAGCCGTGCTACTCTTGAAATGACCCCACTCTATTCTGTGTTAGGCACCTTTGATTCATCTTCTCAACAGATCTAAATGGATATTTTTGCCAAATAAATAAATAAATAAATAAAAATCTGTGCTTGTTTCTTATTGCTATAGTAACAAATTTCCTCAACCTTACAAATGTAATTTCTGGCACTCTGGGGTCAGAAGTCTGAAATGAGAGTCACTGGATTAAAATCTGTGTTGATTGGGCTGCACTCCTTTTAAAAATTTTAATGTTTTCCATTTTGAGAATTTCATGCATGAGTATTGCCCTTATAATCATTCACACTTCCCTCTCCCCTCCAAGTGCTCCTGTGCCTACTTCTCCCTCCCAAATTTATGACTCCTATAGTTATTAATGTTATACACACACAAACACACATGCACACATACGCACCCCTCCTGAATCCATTTAGTGTTACTCCTATGAACATGACCGCTTGGGATTGGATGACCTATCTGGGGGCTGGCCCACAGAGAAAATGGGTTCTCTCAACAGCCATTGACTGCATATAGCTCTTCATCCAGGGGTGGGGCTTTGTAAGATTTCCCCCATCCGCATTGGTGTTGTTATGTTGAGCATCCCTATTAAAGAGATTTCATGGGATACACACTCCTTAAGGATCCAGGCAGAGAACCTGCTTTCTTCCATCTTTGCAATGAATAAATTTGGAGAGACTCATTTCTTCAAGACCTTGCTGCCAGAAAGCCCAGGACCCAGAGTCAAATCCAGGTCATCCTGACTCTTAAGTTATTTAACACCAGAGTTTAGCAATCCTAGCACAATGCTAATGCTTTAGGTAGAAAAAGAAATGCCTGTCTAGCTTCCCTGACAACTTGGGGACAAAGAGAACACAAAAAGTCTGTCTTTGCAAAGAACACCAGACTTCTCCACGCACCCTTCACTAGTTTCTTGGCGTAGCCTTTTCACAGGGCATTAACACTAACATTTTCCCACTGTTGTCCAGGAAACTGCATAGATGTTTTCCAAAACCAAAGCTTTCTCTTCTACTCCCTTCTACTTTCTGGAAATAAAGGGTTGCAGTGTGAGGTCTTGGAGACCAGTGTTTGATAACACTTCCTCAGCCACTTGCGTGTTGTTTTATGGATATAGGGTCTTTCGCAATAGTCCAGCCTGGCCTCAAACATGGGATCTTCCCAACTCAGCTTCCCAAGTGTACCATGATGCCTGGCTTTGTCTCTCCGTTAGATTAAATACATGTCTGTGACACCCTACAGACAGGCATAAATGTCAAGAGGAAGCCAAATGCGGGCTTCCTGTCGTTCATTGTGGTGTCCGGTAGTTGCGGTCTAAAAGTGAGCATGCTAGACTTGGCAGCAGTCAAGTCTTCCTGTCAAGAGTTACTCTGAGCAGTGACCGACCTTGTTAGTATCTATTTTCTCATTTATAAAATGGCTAGAATACAACTTGCCTCACAGAACTGTTGCAATCATCAAATACTAAGATGGTTTACAAACAAGACAGTGTCCATGATGACCAGGGGATATTTGGAAAGGAGAGGGTCTTGGGTTAATGTTATATTTAATACCCTAATGACCCGTGGAACATAGGAAGGAGGTACTAACGATGACTGGTTGGTCCTACAGTTAAGGGCTCCCAGGTCCAGGAGAAATAGCCATATATCCACTTCCCCTTCCCTGACGGGGGCAGCATTCTAAGCCCCGGAAGCCCCACACCCACTGACCTTTTGTGCTTCTTTCTGTTTCTATGATTGGCTTTAAGAGGTAAAAACTTCCCTGGGAAAATAGAGAAAGCCTGCTAACTGTGCTGGGGTGTGTCTAGTGTCAGGTACCAAGTTGCACGTCTGTCGGCAGGGAGGGTGTCTGTACATTCCGTCAGCATTCCTGTCCAGTTAGCTCTTGCCCTTTGCCCTGGCCGTTGCTGAACCCTCTGATTCAGACTGTAGCAATGTGGATATGACCTCTGAGGTTTTCTCTTGCACAGGGGATGGATGCTTTCTTTCTCTTTTTGCGTTCTTCTTCTCTGTAAGAATGGCATGTTAGAATCCAGCTGCTGCCTGAGCTGGCATAGCTCGTTGAGCTTTTTCTCATCTATAGATGCTGGCAGGAACCCTACAAGGGCACCGTCTCTAACTGACAGACTTCTTGGTGCCCAGATCTGCCATGTGGGATGTGAATTTACATTAGTGGCAGGTTTTGGTGGCTACACATCCTCTTTGCCACCACCTTCTCTGTCTCCTCCTAGAGAACCTGGCTTCAGGCTTCTATGTTAAAAGCCCCCACATCCTTAGATGGCCATGTGGTCTCTGATTCATCTCTTTAGAGACCCTGTCATGTTGTTTGTCTCTGATCCTGGCCTGTACATTTCTTGGAGCCCCCACCATGCTGTTGCCTCTGCAGGTCTAACTATGGCATTAGTAACTTTTCCAATAAACCTTTTTTTTTTTTTTTTACCTCCCCATTCCCTTAGTGGCCCTCTTGAACCCCTCTCCCCACTCTGAAACCTTTTACTGTTAGTATCTCCTACACAGGGCTTCCTGCATATTATAACAAGAGTCTCCCAGATGGAAAGCATTGGTTTCTGCTATATTTGTTCCAGCCCCAGAATGACAGAGTGTTCGACACACAGGAAGTAGTCAATTGTTTCTCTAAATAAAAGAAAAAGTAAATAAATGTTTGTTTGTAGGAATGAGCG